TCATTGACATAAATAGCCGAAGGAACTACGCGGCAGCATTGGTAATAAATAGAATTTCATTCATCTTGTAATTTTTTTAGCAAATTTTTAAAAGACTCTCGAGACTTTGCTGCTATATTTTTACAATCCTCCTTGTTAAGGTGCCGAAAAAGAGGGTGCATATATTTACGTTTTATTTTATCAGGATCAAAGACGTGATATTATGTCAGTAGTAACATACCAGTAACCCATTCAGGCTGTGCTGATTTACTGTCGCTTTTTCAAAAGCAGTTAGTTAGCAGAAGATCAAATTTTTCATAATTACAAAACCAATGGCCTGAGAAGCGATGGCAGGGATAATTAAAATCATGCTGATGAACGAATGCAGTTCAGCAAACGTACGCCTAAAAGGGTAGGAAGATGTCAGGAGGAATGGAGTCCGATCCCATCATTACGATTATAGATCTTACCTCCTGATACTCCTTGTACTGGATCTGGCCAAGTCACGAACAACCGGCGATAGTGTGTACACATCACACTGAGAAATCTCCTAACAAGCGGATAGAAGAGTCTAAATTAGTTCATGGATTTCCCGGCAAAGAGTTACATTTAACTACCTCGAAATCAATGCTTAATAATAGTTGGCAAACTGTCCAAAAAAGCACACACTACAGGAAAATACAAACCCCCCCCGCCCCCCCCCCCCCCCCCCCAAAAAGAAAGTCCCGGAACTGAGTTCTATAATTAGATGAATCGAATGGAAGTTTGTGTGATGGGCAGAGTCCTGCAGGCTCCCACCCCCGCCCCCCCGCCAATTGTCCCCAGTCCTCTCAAGGAAGGCTTGCCTGCCAGCTCACCAAGTGCGCATCCAGCAGCCGGTTTGGGGACGTGCCGGGGCTGCAGAGAGAGCGCAGGGTGACCACATCCCAGCTGACTGGCTGATTTGAGCGTAAGGCTCAGCCACTCGGCTCCTGAGCAGTCGATCTGATAGGCCTATTTTGGGGCTTCAGGAGCCCAGTGAGGTCCAGCGAGGCTGTCACCAGCCGCCGTAGCTGCAGCCTGATGTTACCGCTGTGCCAGTCCGCGGCTTCCTCCTTCCTCGACAAAGGTACAGATCGGCACAAATGGGCACCCCACGCCTAATAGGCACACCTCCTGAAACTAAACTCATCTCAGAGTTTCTTCCTGGAAACCCAAACCTGACAGCAACGAGATCCACTTAGATCTGGGACGGTGGAGGAAGTGTGATGAAGGTCGAAGTCAATGCTGAGGTAGAAGAGTTTTTTTAAAAATATCAATCACAAGTCTATAAAGCAAATTAACAAAAAAACTCGAAAAGACCTTGGCTCTGCTATTCGCCTTTAAAATTTACAGAAAGCTATCAGTAAACTGGCAGTTTGGAAAATTAGGGGGAAATATCCACAGTCTGATCGTTTATCAGCTAGCGAATCTCATCCTTTTGCGCAATTATAAAGTGGATGGAAGTAAGCACAGCCACCATAATGCAATTTACCCCTAATAAATGGAAGACGTTCCCCATAATCTGGGTGGCTCTCCTTTCTAAAGGGAAGAACACCACCGAAAAGTTCCATTTCAAATTCATCTGCCTTGCGCATAGTAAGGGTATTGTGTAATGATAAGAACGACGATAAAACCTTGAAAATAAATGCTAACAATAGCATTCATGAAACTACACAAAAGTAGCCTGGTGGCAAGACTGTGTTTGTTTAGACCAAACTTCCTTTCGATCCTCCTTGATCCTTTAACTTGGAAAGACGGCAAAAAAGCCAGCTGGGGCGACGCGAGACAGCTTGGACTGTGTCGTGGGTAACCAAAAGCTTCTCCTCGACTTACGGCATTTCTTTTCATGGGCTGTGAATGAAAATTACATCAATCAATATAATTTCTCCATGTAATGATCCAGGCCTTAACTGTAATACCTTCATACCACGGTTACAAACCAACAAATGGCTAGAGTTATCAATAAGCAGCATATTTTACCATGCAGACATTCTTTATAGATGCCACAGCATTATTAAGGATGGCTGGCATGTGAGTTATTATACTAGGCTGAAACTTATATTTTGATTGAAGTCTCACCAGCTCTGCAATGATATGGCAAGTTTATTAACTGTAATGGCATTTCTATGCCTAATAATAATATAATTCACAATCCCTATCGAAATCCTTGGTGGGCTGGGAAATGCTGGAACTTAGCTAAATTGTAGGATTAAAGGCTACTATATGCGAGCATACACTGTACGTTATATAATTCCACCAAGAGTGGGGGGGTCGGGGTAATAAGCTGTAATTTAAGCATACATGATATTACTGCGTCCAAATGTAATGAATATTCACACCCAAGTAGGACAAAGAAAGACAAGTTAGGTTCCGCTACGGCAGTCAGTTTTGGCAACCGACATTAATGAAAAACGTTGGGTTTTCGGGGCTTGTTTGAATTTCAGAATTATGAAAATAAGGGTCATGACCAAGCCAAGACAGTGACCCACACTAAAAGCTGTAAGCAAATGTGTTATTTTCTAAACTCATACATGGCAGATGTATACATCATACCTTGATGTAAAAACAAAAAAAAATACAAGAAGATTCAAATCGCAATATAATCATCTACGAATGGTCAGATTGTATAGATTTCCAATTCTACTGCCATGCACCAGTATCTTTGATGAACGCTTTATTTTTTTTTTTGTTTTTTGTTTCTGACAGTCTCACTTTGTTGCCCCAGGCTAGAGTGAGTGCCGTGGTTGCAGCCCTCGGCTCACAGGCAACCTCCAACTCCTGGCCCAAGAGATCTTTCGCTGCCTCAAGGCCTCCGCGAGTAGCTGGGACTACAGGCATCGCGCCACGCCACGGCCGGCTAATTTTCTATATATACATTAGGTTGGCCCATTAATTCTTCTATTATAGTAACAGATGGGGTCTCGGCTCTTGCTCAGGCTGGTTCGATAATCCTGACACTCGAACGATCCGGCCGGCCTTGCCTCCCAGAGTGCTAGGATTACAGGCGTGAGTGAGGCCACCTCATGCAGCTGATGAATGTGGTAAGGCAATTTAAAGTGGACCGCGTATGTGGTGGGCTGTATGCGTGCACCACGATGGCCTGCAGGCCCCCCTTACCCAGGTGACTCTGCGCCAGCCACTCAAAACCCGGCTTCTCAATGAGGCGGCCTGGCTATGGCGACGTCCACGTGGCACCTGCTCATTCAGCAGGCAGAGTGACTTTGAAAAGTTCCTCCAAAACTTGTTTCTTGCTATGAATCAGCTCAGTCCAAACTCCTGTGGACAGGGCTTTTATGAGAAGCTGACGCCTGGTAAATGAGAAAAAAAACAAACAAACAAAACAACAAAAGCAACAAGTAACTAAAATACAGTAATTTTTCTTCATGTCTCCAAATCAGGAATTTCACCACAGTATTAATCGTAAAACAATGGGCTGCCATGTTATACCCAGCCCCAATGAAAGGTTATTACCTAACCCAAACCATGCTTAACTACTTGGAAACTAATTTAGAAATCTTACATTCCAGAAGAAATGACTGTAATTTTCTTATAAATTAGAAATTTACATTATCCCATGCTTCTGACAGCGTATGAACTTATCTCCATTAAAAGTAATTTTAGCTTTTACAAAAAGGTGAGTTCAAACTCACCTTTATTTTTAGCTTTTAAAAGGTGAAGTTCAAGACTAAGTCAGGCTGTTCTCGAATATTTGCACCAGAAAATAAATAATACATATTTTAAAAAGATTTTTACTAATTTATCAGTTTTGGCCTTGGACTCCTTGTCAATTTGTCTGAGTAGAGCAGTCAAATCCTCAGCAAGCATCAAAATCTCCTATGAGGGCCTGTACAGCCAATGCTGGTCCTCACTCCCAGAGTTTCTGATTCAGTAAAGATGCACGAAGGTGGGACGCAGACAATACTGTTTCTCTACCAACTGACCCAAGATGCTGGCATTATAGTCTGGGAGACTCGTTTGAGAAGGAATGTCCAGTTCTTTCGGGGATAGGAAACAATCACTGTGCTCTTTTGTGTTCTGGGGTTCGGGAAAGTCTGCTGAAAGAAGAATAAGCTTAAATGGATAAAGAAAAGAAAAGAATGGGTGCCTGGATTTCCAAAGGATAAAACCAGTGCAGAACTACCACAGCAGTATGGGCTGGGGAGACAGCACCTCAAACGCATAGCTGATTTCATCTTTATAGCTGAACCATGCTATGTAAGAATCTAATCCACACACAGTCTTCAATGTGTAATGATTCCAATAATAGAGGAGAAAACTAGAGTTTGAAAGAGAAAATAAAAATAGTGCACTGGATGACGCCTTCAAGCAAAGCCAATAACTTCGCCTCTAATGCGATACGCCTGATTCTACGTTATAGTAAATGCTAAGTTAGTATCTGCACTTCTACTACTCATCGCAAGTGTAAATGCCACCATTAAGTCTCTCAGTATTACTAAGAAGCATGGAGAGTTGGTGATGACCCATCTTTTTTTTTTTTTTGAGACAGAGTCTCGTTTTGTGTGCCGCAGGCTAGAGTGAGTGCCGTGGGCGTCAGCCTCCTCACAGCAAACCTGCAGACTCCTGGGGCTCAAGTGATCGCTCCTCCTCAGGCCTCCCCAGTTTGCTGCGGACTACAGCCATGCCACCACCACGCCCTGGCCTATTTTTTGGTATATATATATTAGTTGGCCGATTAATTTCTTCTACTTATAGTAGCAACGGGGTCTCCCTCGTTGCCTCAGGCTTGGCTTGCCGAACTCCTGACCTCGAGCGATCCTCCCGCCTCGGCCTCCAGACGTGCGTAGATGAAGCAGGCGTGAGTCACTGCCACCACAAGACACACTTTGTTGGTGTATGCACAAATCGCCCTACGCGGGAGAGTGGTGGGTCAACGCTGGCAGTTTCTGAAGTCAGTTTTTTTTTGGTTATAGATTAAAAACTAGAGATGCAGCAACAGCGGCAGCAACGAATCCCTAAACTGAGGCAGTTCAGGGATTTACCTTCACTGATGTCCTGGCTGTAACTGCCGTCTGGCTCGACGTCGGAGGGGATCATGATGTGCCAGGTGGTCATGCGGGCTTCCGCTTCCAGTCCGAACCCGTCCACGTTGCTGCAAAAGCCCAGTCGGTTTAAATGATACGAAGGAAATGCTTGCGGCTAAAAGAAAAAACTGCTGTAACTGAGAATTACTCCGCGGACAACAAGCAACAAACGGCTGCTGCCCTCACAGAGCTCAGTTACCGCAGACACTGCTGGATGTCTGAGCAGCAGGTGCACAAAATAAAACCAGTGTACCACGAAGAAAGATGCTTGAAAGGGTGATCAGACAAACCCACTTTTGACTAAATGTAATTAAACTTACCTATATAGCATCAAGACGGTCATCTTAACATTTAATAATGCCTTTTGATTACTAACACTTCTACTTAAAAAAAAAAAATCACAAAAAATTCATTTAACTAAGAACGTTTCTACAAACGCACCTGTGTCCTCTTCCCCAGTCCCCTATCTCACCGCTCTGTGCCTGCAGCAGTGCCTCAGTTTCCCAAATGTGTCATATCCTTTCCTCTTTCTGGGCAGTCACGCAGATTGCTCTTTCTACCTACAGCAGCTGTCCCCATTCTCTTGTCCTACCCAACTCCACAGCTAGGTGTCAAGTTGCAACTGGGCAGGTGTTTCTTCCCAGTTAGGGGCCCCCAGTCTCGTGCTTTTTCTAGCATAGCACTCAGTACACCTGATGCGTCTTGCTTAGCTCTCTGTTTTCCTCTCGAGAGGGCTGTACGGCCACAGGGTCCACCTTACATTTTATCTAAGCTCCAAATTCAATGCCTGGTCCCGGCAGACAATAAAAAAAATATGTCAAAGCAATCAATGATAAATTACTGATTTTACTCACTTAATGTATAACGCTACATCAAGTTTTTCTTTTTACTTTTCTTGGCCTCCAACAGTGTGTACTTAATTTGCTTTAAAAGCAAATTGCTTTTTAAAAATTACGTAAGTGACACGGTGACGATGGAAAATTTTAGAGATGCAAGAAAGTTAAATCGAAAGGCAAAAATATCCATTTACTCAATGCCAAAAGTACAACACTAGCAGCCCTGTACCTTTTGCATAAATTTTTTTTTTTTTTTTTTGAGACAGAGTCTCACTTTGTTGCCTAGGCTAGAGTGAGTGCCGTGGCGTCAGCCTCGCTCACAGCAACCTCAGACTCCTGGGCTCAAGTGATCCTCCTGCCTCAGCCTCCCCAGTTGCTGGGACTACAGGCATGCACCACCACGCCCGGCTAATTTTTTGTATATATATTAGTTGGCCGATTAATTTCTTTCTACTTATAGTAGAGACGGGGTCTCGCTCTTGCTCAGGCTGGTTTTGGACTCCTGACCTCGAGCAATCCTCCCGCCTCGGCCTCCCAGAGTGCTAGGATGACAGGCATGAGCCACCTCGCCCGGCCTGAAGCTCTTACTAATACGCAGTTCAGAACCCTTGAGGCACATAAATGCAATTTAATGAATGAGTGCTACATAAACACAGAGCTCCGGGCTGGGCACGGTGGCTCATGCCTGTAATCTCAGCACTTTGGGAGGCCGAGGTGGGAGAAGAGCTTGAAAAACAGGAGTTCAAGACCGGCCTGAGCGACACAGCAAGACACTGTCTCTATAAAAAAATTAGCGGGGAGTGGTGGCACATACCTGTAGTCCCAGCTACTTGCTTAGCTGAGGTGGGAGGATGGCTTAAGCCTAGGAATTTGAGGTTGCAGTGAGCTATGATGATGCCACTGCACTTTAACCTGGGCAACAGAGCAAGAACCTGTCTCAGAAACAAAAACAAAAACCCAGAGCTCTCAGCGAAGAGAGCCATCAACACCCCTGTGGGGCACAGCAGCCTCCCGACAGCATGAAGTGTCAGATGGGTGAAGTCTCCCACTAAGCAAATTTTATTAGGTTAAATAACCTCTATTCAAAACTACTGAAAAAAATTACCTAGTGTTAGGAAAAATCCCTCCTCTCTGTCCCCCGGGACATTATTTGCCCCCCAAAAGTTTTTTGACATTCCAGTTTCATCCTCTCATATGAGAATTTTCTCTTTGGCTTAAACACAAATGCACCTCTAAAAAAATTCTATTTAGGCATCTTAGTTATTCTAAAAAAAAATAATAATAAAATAAAAAAAAAATAAGAGTACCTGTGTGTGTGTCTTTGTCACATGCTCATAAAACATGGTAACAATATTTTCTACTTTCTACAATACGTGTTGAATAAAATTAATCATTCATGCCAAACCAAGTTAATCATTCATGGCCAATATCCCTCAATTAAAAATACCGTGAACATGCACAAAAAAATTGACAATTTCAAAGTACTATGGACTACATTGCACTTTCTAAAAAATACAACTGATAAGAGACTATTCCTTTAATATCAACTCTTCATGCTGGGTAAGCCTTTACACACTGATGCAGGATACTGTGAAAACCTCTCAAATTGTATTAACCTAAGGTATTTAAATCTATCTGGGTAGCAAAGACCACCACCAGCGGGGAAGTCAGTGAGCGACCAGAGCTTGAGAGAACTCGAAGCAACTGTACAAGGGACACGCTGGCCCCTTTTAACAGGGGAAGTGTTAAAAGTCCACATTTTTAAATTTCACTTTTAACAGGCGCAGCTTTGTATTAAATGTTAACATTCATTATCTCATTAGTTACCCTTATTTCCAACAATTCTGATGCTACAGGCAAGGTTTTTCGACGGAAAAACATTGTACTGTACAAACCAACAGTGACCGTGAATTACCTGTGCAATTAGTTGAATTATAAAATCTATAAGAAGTTTAGATTCTTTGTTGAACATGCCTTGCCAAAGCTTGTCCACCACACGTTGCGTGAAATAGAACACATTGTTCACCAATACCTGGTAGCTTCCTCCACTGGTGATAGGCAGAGAGGCGTCTTCCCCTATATACCAGCAGGAAAAAAAAAAAAAGGTCTTAAGAAAATTGATACCTGTCAGCATAAGACCAGAACCTCAAAGAAAATCAGGCTAAGGAAAAATGAGTATAATTATAAACATTTAGAAATATGACCACTAGCTCTTATGTATGTCTTTGAGAAAATGATGCTCGTGGTCAGAAATCAGCAGGAATGGTGGAAGAAACAATTTTAGCAGTAATAAAGTGTTGTGGATTGAGACTACCTGTGAAGTCCCTTATTGCCTAAAGACAGCCTGCGACAGGCAAACAGTTCTTCAACATAAACTGTCAGTCCCAAGCGATCCCCACTGGAGAGAAACATTAGGTCAGTTTATTAGCTATAACTTGGTTCTATGTAATAAAGGGTAAATAACAAAACATCAAATAAAACTCTCTATCTTTGAGTATACACCTTTAATGACAATGAAGTAACAGGCAGAACAGAGCTTCAGAAAAACTGCAAAAAATACAGCATAGTCCATGGTGCATGTAGCCCCCTCCGTAATTATCATCAGCTCTGTCTCTTTCCAAAGGGGACCCCAATGTTTTCAGTGTGCTTGCTACCTAACACTGCTTCATGACTAGTCCTCCTAGCTCCATCTCCTACCTAAAATGTTCCCTCTAAGCCCCTTCCTCTGTGGAAATTCTGGAGGCTCCACTAAATGTGATTATTTTCATTCCTACCTAGCTTGACATTGCTCCATTAAGCAAAACTCTTTACTTTGTGTCATTATATATAGCATGATGGATCTCACCTGATCAGAACAAGTACAACGTGAGCCTTGACAGTCTGCTTTCAGAGTGCACGATTACATGTTAAGACAATACTCAAGACTTCCTGACAAATTTACTTTGGAGAAAATGTTAATAGTGCACAGGTTCTATGATTAATAATAGCACCAGGAACTCAAAGTAGCATATATAGTATATACTAAACCATCTCTTTTCCTTCTCCTATAAATTCTGTCTTTGTTTTATATGTAAATATTGGCTTCACTATAAATATATAAAGTTTTTTATTTTTATTGCAATTAGATATTGACATACAGAAAAAACATATTTCAATGTGTTTTGATCTTTTTCCTGGAAGCCATCCTAAAAAATAACATATACATACCTGTGACCCAACAATTCCGTTCATAGGTACATACTCAACAGATATGTATAAATGTTGTACACGTATGTGGTCCATAGGAACAAGAATATTTATAGCAGCTTTATTTAAAATTTTCTCAAACTGGAAACTTCCATATGTCTATCAGTAGTAAAATGGATAAGCATATATCCATGATGGAATACTATATCGTAATGAGAATAAATGGACTCATGCTACAACATGCAGCAACATAGATAAATTGCACATATATTAATGCTGCGTATATGAAGCTAGACTAAAAAGAGAAGAGGAAAGAGATGAAGTTAAAAAACAGAGATAGATACTTGGGGTTTAGATAGAGAAGGAGAGTAATTATAGGTACTATTACAAAAATAAAACACAGAATTACCCAATAACACGTCAGCTGCAAGCAAATGGTCCATCACACTATCCAAAATGTAAGTCTGAAATTCTTTTTGCTGAGTTCTTGTAGATCTTTCAGGGGAAGCCTAATCGATAAAATTTAGGATTAGAAACAGAACCAACCGAAGATAAGGCTAAACCATATTTACACTACCAAATGTATTAAAAAGATTAAAAAAACTCTACTGTTAAGATAAACAGAAATAGGACGTGAGAGATGGTATATATGCTTACAATCTTCCTCTTATTTTTCTAATCATAGAATTTTTAAAAATTTAAAGCAAATTTAAACCCATCCCTCCTAAAATAGTATTCTGAACACTAAGTATTTAATAAATATTTGATAATCTATTATTATATCTCACTTCCAAAAAAAACCTGGCAGTGTATAATGAAACATGGAAAAAATAACATACAGATCAAAAAGCCATGAAAACAAATACAAAAGCTCAAGAATCCGGTCATCAGGAGAGTTACGTCAATGGGGAATGAAATATTTATAACAAAAAACAATTTAGCTCTGAGCTTCACAGGTATCAAGGAGGAGGGAAAATTATGGTTTACAAACGCTTTTTATTCTTCATAAAAAGCAGCAGACTGGACTGTCAGCGAGGATACACATTTTCCTAAAATTGTTCTGAGAGAAATGTTCTCTATGGGTGTAAGAAAGGGCAGTGACAACCTTTATAGGTAGTATCTTCGATAAGTTTTACAAAGTGCAGAGATGACCTTAAAAATTATCTTGAGTAAAAAGCTAAGGGCACAGAGTTCAAGTGCAATCCCTGGCAGCACTTCTACTGCTGATCAGGGGAAGACAATCCAGGTGTAAGGCTTTCAAGCGTCCAACCAAGTAAGCGGCAAACCACGGGGAACACGTGGGGGAAATGCAGGAAGGATCCTTTTGTCATCCAGACGCCAGTAGTTTTTTTTAGCCAGGCTTTTGATAGGAATTAGATACTGAATAAGTCAATAAAAACTGTGATGTTCTTCCTTACACAGACACCTGCATGTTTTGGATTCAGGCATAGTACTGATGCTTGGGCCAGTGAAATCAAAGAACCTACTTATTCTTGCACAGAGAAATCCAGGATTGTGTTTATTACTATGTTAAAAAAAAGTGGGGTTTTAGAACACTGCTCTGTTTTTCTTTCTATTATGATTTTCAAAGTGGTCCTGTTAAAGGCTTTAAAGAAGCAGTTAAGATCTGAGTGCTACACAGTGAAATCAATAACCTAAGATTCAAAAACCAACAGCTAAACAAAAGTTGTAAAGAACATTTTTTCTTTTTTTTTTTTTGCATGAAAAGGCATTTATTTAGTTTTAAAATGACAAAATATGGGTCTGGTAACAGTTGAAAAAACACTAGTGCTTAGGAGTTTGGTTTGTCAGTTACCTAATTTTGGAAAAAGTGAAGACTTTCTCATATTGTATTTAACCTTACTAAATTTCTCCATGTAGCTGAACAGATTAATACAATGGTCAGCAGGAGACTTGTGACCAAGGCCTGCCTCACCTTCTCAGGTTGGTATTAGCTTGATTGAGAGTCTTACTCCCACATTAACTGAAGAGAAAGTGAGGACTTACAAATGATCAACAGCAAACTGACAGTTCCATGAGGATTTCCTTATCATTACATCAGAGACCATTTCATGCAATGGCTTGAGTGATCAGAATTTACTAAAGAATAAGTCACAGGAAAACGTCCACACTTTGAAGACAACAGTACTCCTTCAGGATTGTAATCAGCTCAGGGTGGTTATCGTAGAATACGTAGCATATCGTGGAATACGTAGTAACAAGTAGGGTTTATTGAATCTTGGCTAGACGAAGTTTTGGAGTCCGTCAAACAGAGTGGACTACACTAGAGAAGTGCTTGGTCAGTCAACAATGTTTATTTTTATTAATATTCTTTCTTATTCCAGAAGGATTTGAGGCTGGCTCAGTCACCAATAGGCATTATAACACTCTGATTCTTCTCACCGAAGCTGTTACGATGAGCAGAGTGATCAGGACGAAGAACTTAATACTTGCTAATGGTGCTAGCGGCCTAGTTCCTACGTCCTTGCTGGGATTTATAAGCAGCCTGACTTTTAAAAGGACTTTTGATCTGTTCTCACGCACTTTCTTTGCACTGCCACGCTACTATTCACCTGTAGCAAATTCATCTGGCCCTCATGAGAAGCCTAGTGGTCGAAGCAGAGGACACTGATGAACAGGAGCTGGGAGAAGAGTCACTAGATGCCCTCACATAAGCCAACACGGGCCACTTAATCAATATTTTTTAGCGTGTCTTAAGTGCCAGGCACCATGTTATTATGAGTATTAAATGGTATCTTATTTAATTCTCACAATAACTCTCAGAGACAGTTTCCATTTCTATTATCATTTCACAGATGTTGAAACTGTAAGCGGTGAAAGACAACAATTAAACTTGGCCAGGGTCACACAGCCATACCCAGCACACATTTAATTCCTCAAAATACTTTTAGCTGGGTGATGCACACGTATTTGACCTCCACAACAATCCTGCAGCGGAGACAGTAAACAACATCGTTCCCAGAGAATGAATTTAGCTGAGGGAGATTAAAACGCTTGCATGAGAAACAAGGGACAGAATCTCAACCCGGGTATTTCTTCCTCCCAAACCCATGCTCTCTCACACCGCTTTCCTCAATGCGGCCTCAGTGTCTGTCACTCAAGCCAGTCTGTATGAGTGAGAATCTCCTATTTTTGTAGATTGCTAATGAAGACAACTTCATGTTCTTGTGGACATAAGTAGACACTTTTATGATGAAACTCCAGCACTCATAAGATTCAAGATGGTTCATGTTTACTGGACTATTGGTTCAGGCCCCTTCTTTTATGTAGATAAACGGTAAGTATATACGACAGCCCTATTCTTGCACCTCTTCATAGATAAAGGTTTCATAATCGTAATATTCAAAATCATATTTGCAATTTTTTACATCATAGGAAGGCGTGGAATATTTTCGTTAACATCTGTATGCGTATTCTTTATGTGTGTATTAAATTTAAAGTTCATCAAAGTAGTGAATTAATTTTTAAAAGCAAATTTCTATCCCTTTTATTATGTAGTATCATATTTTCCTGTTTGGAAAACTTGCCAGACATGTAGCTAAGAATTAAATGATTCAAAAATACAGTAAGTCTTCACTTAACGTCATTGATACATTCTTGGAAATTTTGACTTTAAGCAAAATGACATATAAAGAAGCCAATTTAGGCCGGGCGCAGTGGCTCACGCCTATAATCCTAGCTCTCTGAGGCCGAGGCGGGTGGATTGCTCGAGGTCAGGAGTTCGAAACCAGCCTGAGCAAGAGCGAGACCCTCATCTCTACTAACAATAGAAAGAAATTAATTGGCCAACTGAATATATATAGAAAAAATTAGCCGGGCATCGGTGGCAAGTGCCTGTAGTCCCAGCTACTCGGGAGGCTGAGGCAGAAAGGATGCTTGAGCCCAGGAGTTGGAGGTTGCTGTGAGCTAGGCTGATGCCACGGCACTCACTCTAGCCTGGGCAACAAAGCGAGACTCTGTCTCAAAAAAAAAAAAAAAAGACAATTAAAAAAAAACAAACCAATTTTTTTCCTCATCATTGTAATGAAACAACATTGAAGGAAATGATACTATTCAAGGACCTGCTGTATCGTTATTTCACTTAAAGTCAGTTTCCAAGAACCTATCAATGACATTGAGGACTCACTGTACTTACAGAATACACCAAGGCACTGTGCTAATTGTTGTGAGAGATGAAAGAACACATGGAAGTTGGTCTCTAGCTAGGTGATTTGTAATCTCTACCTGAGGTTAATCCTGAAACTCCCTGCTCCTCCCTGTACTATAACCCCATCACGCGCAATTCCCAGTACCACTGGGGACACCAATTTCCAACGTAGGACAGATTCATGCCTACAACGAGAACCTTATCTCAAGGTTAATAGTTACATCAAACTTTTCTTATTAAAAAAACAGAAAAAACAAAAGATGACTATATATGGTTAGTTGGCTATTAAGATTCCTACAAGCTTGAAAATGCTATTACTGGATATGCCCACTCACCCCGTATCTTTGCCATATGTGTATTTAATTTTTTTGCTCAGCTATGTTTTCTAGCACACATCTCTTCTGAACTTTATCTGTTATTTTCCAACTACCATGCCACCTTTTTTCATAGAATACTTCAAATTTTTACCCTATACACTCTGATGCTGGCTATCTCTCTTCTTAGATCTTTTTAAAGTTCCCAAAGGGGACAAGCTCTACCAAGGCATGTCTTAAAATTCTACTACATGGCTTACTGATGAAACCAATTATTCTTCTACCACTATTAAACATTGTGGTCCTGATTAAAATGCTTAGCACCACTGTTATCTGAATTACATCAGTGATTTCCTTTAATTGACCAAATGGAGACATTGTCACATGAATAAGATAAACATCTGGTCTTCAGGTTGCAATGAAAAAGTTAACTGTACTAGCCACTAGAGGGAGCAGAGAAAGCTCAGGCCCAACAGGGAGTTCCTTGGATAGAAATGCAGACATCTGCACAGATTAAAACGTTCATAAGACATGTTAAGAGCCCCTGGCATGTACTATTTGACCGTATTTATATGAATTGGCTAAAAGAACATGAATGTATAGGAAACTAAGAATATCATATTAAATTCCCTCTCTCTGTGATCTTGTATTTTCTCTTGAGACTTTTCCAAGCAAACGTTTTTAATGGTTTTCAGGGATGGCTAATGTCTAGAGCCAAGAGTGAGGCCCCTTAAGGCTCAGAGCCACTGTCATCTTCTGACCCATCAGCGGACTCACATCGCGTACCAGCAGAGCGGGTGAGCAACCTGGAAGTTCTGCTGCCTTGGGGAAAATTCGACAAGTACATACCGAGCACCTACTTATGTGACACGTACGTGTCTTAAGTTGGACAGCACGCTGATGGCAATGGTATCTGGCAATGATGGATACGAGGGACCAAAGCAGGGAGTTGTGAGGTGAGGAGGCAGTGCTACTACGTACCGTCCATGTCTAGGGAAGGGGCTGACACACCATGGCCTGTAGACCATTTCTAGACTGGGGCCATTCTTGTAGATGAAGTTTTGTTGGAACACAGCTATGCTCACACCTTTATGTATTGCCCGTGGCTGACTTTTAGCTATCAATACAACAGTGTAGTTAAATAGCTGTGACACAGACTGTATGGCCCACAAAGCCTAAAATATTCACTGTTTGGCCCTTTATAAAAACGTTTGCCAACTTCTAGAGTTGGCAAACTCTAGAAGGATGCAATTAGAGATGAAGGGTCGAATTAGAGACATGCTTGAGGAAATGGAAAAAAGAACAAATTGATAGGGTCTAAAGCACAGGTAAAGATTAAAAACTTTGCACAGCCCATGATACGTTCTGCCCATACAGAACCCTGAAGAATTAGAAGTATTTGGCACAGAACTTGCAGGATCAGGTCATTCACATTCTAAATTACAAAAGCAATGCAGAAGAGATGTGAATGCATTTCTTTGTCTTTACCTCCAACAAAAGATCAATCAGTGGCGTTTGCTTGCTGGCGGGGGTAAGGCAGAGGTTGTCTATTATTAAGACCCGCATGAAGTCAAAGACAAACTTTTTGGCGGGGTGGTTGGTCAGGTACGTCTTGGTTCCCACATTGCAGTACTCGGACTGGCTCCGGTTCATGCCTGTGTCCACCGCAAATGCTTTAAACTCTTCTGCTGGAGACCCGACCTCATCGTCAAGATCGGTCACCTAGCAAAATCAAACGGAAAAATACGGTAATGACACTAGATTTTATTTGACGCTTTTACTTCTGCGGTCCCTAAAAATAAAATTGTTGCAGTAGCAGTTATCTTCTTTCGGCATTTACCACCTATAAAGCTGCTCAGCACGTGATTTTCACTCTGCTTTCCTTGACCCTTGCGTTCAAGGTAGTAATCCGGTAGCACATGTCAAGGTTACTCAACACGTGGTCTTTCTGACTGACAACTAACAATGCAATCTGCATTATGTTAAATTATATGTCTACTGTGCATAGCTGCGCTTAAAATAAATAATGAGAATGACTATATTTGCATACTTGAAATCTATATACTGAGTAGTCAAATCTCACAAAGTTTCAGATAAAAATCTGGCATAATGGTAGCACCTAAGGGGTGATTCGTTTTTTTGTTTTTTTTTTTTTACAAGTTAAAAAAACCCCAATAAATAAATAAAACTTGTGCCAATTTTGAGGCAAGTGAGAGACATAGACTAGCAGACGGATTACAAGGTGCTGACAAGGAAAGGCACTGAGGATCGATTTCTACCAAAAATGAGGATTCTAAAATTATAAACAAGTCGAGGCATTGAGGTCATGTGTTATACTTGTCTTTCGCCTATAAGTCCCCATAACTGTACAATGAATATTCCACCTTTATACATGGAGAAAAATTTGTATGAAGAAGGCAGTTTATCCCAGGCCCTAAGAATATGTGGTAGGAACAAGAGGAAACATCATGAAATTCTGAAGTATTATGTAGGAATAACTGTGTTGGGGGCCTATTTTAAAGGAGAAAAGAATTAAGTGAACTAAGCCAGGAATAGAAAGTTAAACACTACATATTCTCACTCGGTATGAGGAAGCTAAAAAAATGTTGATCTCATAGAATGAAAAAGTAGAAGCGAGGATACTGGGAATGGGAATGCTAGTGGGGAAAACACGGATAGGAAGAGATTTGTTAAAGGATACAAAATAACAGCTACACAGGTGGAATAAGTTCTAGTGTTCTATACCACTACAGGAATGACTACTGTTAACAATAATATATAGTTTCAAACAGCTAAGAGAATACTGAATATTCCTAATATAAAGAAAAGACAAATGTTTGATATGATATTCTAAATACTCTGATCTGATCATCAGACATTATATATACTGAAACATCACTATATATCCCATTAATATGTACAATTATTATTTGTCAATTAAAAAAATTAAAATAAAGGAGAAAAGTAGCTATGCTCTACATGATTATAGCCTAATAATTTTCTAGTAAATTAGCATAAAATAATAAAAAGAAAAGTTGAATGAAACAAGAAAAGTTAAGAGAGGACCAACACATACTTTATTAAGACTATCAAACCTATAAGTCATTTATGAGGATTAAATTCAGCAAGTGCCCTAATTGTTAGAACAGAAGGAAGTTTTGTTAGACTAGAGTTCTTTTACCTGAAAAGAACGTGTCACAACTACAGAGTTCCATCACACGAGAAATGGACCAACTACTCGCAGAGGGGAATTGCTAACAGGGCACTTACAGGAACACGGTCGATGAGAAAAGGAAGCGTAGCTGACTGTCATTTCAGGGGAACGCAGAAGGAAAGGGTGCGGAGCTGAGGAGGCCGGGTGGTGTAACAGGTGGGGCACAAACTTAATGAAACTACAACCTGGTCAAAAAACTAAACGATCGACAAAAAAACAAAACAAAACAAAAAATCTGCTAACCATTGGAACAGACAAATTCCAGTTTTGACACCTTCCTCCCCCTTTCCTACCATCTCCGAGTACGGGCGGATGTTGAAGGGGAAGACCGTGGCCGCCAGCGCGCACAGGAAGTCGGGGCTCATCCACATGGAGGCCAGGTCGGGCACGTTGTGATACAGGTATCTGAAGAACTGCATCAGGGTCACGGGGTATTCCCGGAGCCAAGACCCCTCTTCTTCTGACTGCCAAGGCTGTCGGGAACGAGAGAAGAAATTCCGAGTGTGAGTAATGGACACACCGCCACAATTGCTTTAAAACCCCATTCCTCACTGTTCTTATAAACTGGGTGTATCGTTGGTCCAGAACTCTGTAAATCACACACATGAGCAAACACGCTTGTGTACAGACATGAGCAAACACACCTGTGTACACGCATGAGCAAACACACTCGTGTACACACATGAGCAAACACACTCGTGTACACACATGCAAACAAATTTAGAAATTAGCTGAAACAAAAACAATCCCCTTAGAAACTGCTATGAGGTTTGTCTACTCATGGGATTATTCACATCTCAGCTAACTAAAGTCAGTGGTTCTGATTACTCATCATATTAACACGAGTACTGCTGGTACCCACAGTGGCTGGATTCCCACCAGAGTTGCCCCACCTTGCATCATGTTGAAGTTAGGAGCTACCATAAAAGAGGGGGAAGGTACTTCATTTTTCCGGGCCTCATGCTTAAGCATTATGTGATACAACGACAATAACAATGAGGATTAAAAAACATAAAAAGAATACTGTATATTTGAACAGCGTATATCTCCTGATACCTGCCCAGATAATGGCTTTCTTCTTAACTTAAGATCTTTATATTTGTTTATAAGTAGGCACCAAAACAAGAATCCTTTTTTTTTTTTTCCACCTTCCAGGAGAATGGGTGTGACAAAACAAGAATCCTAAAGCATTCTAAATTAATGCATTTGATGGTAATGTTCTGCTCTTAGATGACATAACAATAGTTTTGACTAAAATTACATTTGTCAGGTGTGCGTAATTCAAGCAGTCTAAGTTAACATTTCTTCTTACAGAGTAATCTGAAATCGTGCAAACAAATTAAGCCATTATTCACAGTATTCCCATCAGATAGACAGGAATATAAATTTTGTCATTTATCCTTTTTCAATACTTTAATAATCAGAACAGAAAAACAAAAACAAATGAAAATAAAACTTACATTGTTAACATTTTTAACTTCTAAATGAAAGTAATTTTAAAAGTTAAAATAACATAGTATTGTAACATATACTGTAACATACATCAATTACATATGTATACACTGTAATATATACTTTGTTAATTAATAATTAATAATAATACCAATTAATACTTCTGAAGCACTTACTATATATACCAGGCAGTCTTATATATGCTTTATGTGTACACTAATTAATTAAATCCTCACAAAAACCCTAAGAGATAAATTCTGTTATCATCAGCATTTTAAACATGAGGAAACTGAGGCACACGACTGAGGTCAGTATGTCTGAAGTTCCACAGGTACGATCTGAACTAGGTAGGGCTTGAGTGTCCCTGGTCTTAAAAATTGTACAGTCTGTTCTCATGTTAGAAATAATAAAATAGACTATGAGGTTCCAGAGACCACGTTGTAAATAAAGAGCTATGTTACCAAAGGATTCCTCTATTTACAAAACAACCACACGCAGGAGGAACTATCGATGGGTCTCAGTGTCTCAGTGAACTTACTGAATTCAGCATGCTGCGAAGCATTCCCAATAATAAAAAAGCAGCTTCTGTACACACATTATGGATAGAAGAGACCACAGTTCCACTGGACGCGGGAACTCCAAAGATAAATGTCCAAATAGAATCCAAATCAAACTGCAGAGGTGAAAGTGATTAAAGATTAGCCACTCTGAATTTTTTTCAGTAGAGACCCTCATAAGTTCTAATATTCCAATATTTCTCAGAAACTAGTGGTTTTTTTTTAAGTCAGCAATGATAAAGAGATAAAGACCTAGTAGTGCTCCTGCCACCTACATTTTAAAACTCATTTATATACTTATTAAAATAAGTTGAGTGCTATGCATCATATCCTGTCTTAGGTATCTACGTTAGGAAACATGGCTTTCTAATTTTTCTGAACAAAACAAAAATAAAACACATGTTAATTAGCCACAAGGTGAGATTATAGAACCGATGATTTTAAACAGGATCTTTTTTTAAAAAGCACCTTGAACTCACTTCCTTCCCGTTATCAGCAATATTCTAATTTTAGATTATTTAAAGATAAGATTTGACAAAATAAAAATCAATTTGAGGAAATTTATTCCTAGTAGTTTTACATAATACTTTATGGTGTCATGTATACTTTGAAAAATTACATAACCAACAAAACTCCATGAACCATAAATCTGTAATTTGATTTAATGTAAGTGTACAGATTCAGTGTTTCCACTTAAAAGGTTCTGTCAACTCCTAGAACTGATGTGAATAGCACTTAGCATTAGCATGGAAGTACAGTTGAGTTTAAAAGTTAAATTCCTAAGTCTTTGTAGTGTCACAAACATTAAGCTATACACAGACATTAATAGTCTTCAATTAGTAGACAAGTAAAGTCTTACGTTTTTCCTAACGTGGATTGTTATCTAACATCAAGTGATAAAATTTTTTTTTTTTAAATCAGAATTTGCACTGCGAATCCTGTCATACCCACTCCATTAATTTATGGTATCCAAACGACTCCTTTCGTTTTTTAATTTTATGGAAATGAAATTATTTTTCCAGATAAAAAAGAATCGTATAATGAAAGAATTCTTTAGATCGTCCAAATAGCGTCCAAAGTCTTTATGCATATATAATAATCACACAAAGTAATCATATGGAGAAAAAAATCCAAACAAGGACAGAGGACTTCTTTTTTCAGAAAATTTTCTTAGGCATTTTTAGATTTTTTTTTCTCCCCCTATCCCAAATCAACTTTCGTGTGAGAAAAGCGACGGTTTTCCTGTGATCACCCATCACTCTACGGTGATGCTTTGGCACATGTAATGACACTCACACCTTACTAGGTAATTCCTACCTGGCCACCCTGCTTACATCGGCAGCTGGCGACAGGCACACTGACCTGCAGGTTCTCAGGCAGCTCGCTGACCGGCTGCTGCAGAAACAAGGCCATGAGGAGGAAATAGAGGGCGGGGACATTGGTGTGTTTGGGAAGGAACGACTGCAGGACAGGAAAGCCAGGAAAATGGCAAGCATCCCGGTTGATCTCCCTGACTGTCGATCTCCCGCCAGCACTCCTGCCCACGTTGAATCCTGAGAGGGGAGGAAAAGTGACAGTAAGTACAAAACTAGCAGTCGATAGCCACGCTGCACTGACAGCAAAGGCAGTCACATTCCGGTGCGGGTTAACGCTTCTATCCGGAACATTCGTGTATCACTACAGGCAATTGAGTATTCAACGGTGGAATTGATCTTGCAGGCAAAAATCTTGCAGCTAAAGTCACCAGCTGTTTTGACTTTAGCAAGTTTACCCATTAGGATCTAGGTTTAGAAATACAGCTGAGACAATCAGGTACAAGACTTCGAAAATGCCTTTGTAAGGGTATAGGCATTCTACTCGTTAAAGGAATAATCTCAGGAGGGCTCTGAACATTCCTGCTTGTGTGTTTCCCTAGGAAAAAAGTGAAAACTAAAATACAGCCAAAATTTAGGATGCTAAAAAAATGTGACTTAAAAATATGCGTGTTACAGGTTATATATTTCATTTGTCCTGAAAATCATGACAAGCTAGTTCACTTCAAGTTACCTACAAATTTAGAGACAAAACGAAATGAATAAGCAAAACGATCTTCCCTCACAACGGGATTTGTAATCTGTTGGAAAGCTGCCAGGCAGTGGGATTGAAAATTCAAGCCCTCTGTGGCCATAGCAACCTACAGGCTCAACAATCAGAATCCCTTCTAGAAACCCAGCTTTTTCAGGAGATGGTCAGTGCTTATTAATATGGCTAATAGCATCAGTATTTCTATCAATACTGTTTCTTTTGCTTCATAACTAAATTCAGGACATTCTCCAAACATTTGGTTCTTTTTCCACCCCCAAACCTAGTAAAAGTACTCAGTGTAAAGCCAAATGTTCAATGGAAGAATTTTGTGAATAGCAACCAATAGACGAAGGATTAATTTTCATCGTGAAGCAACTGATATTTCAAATATTCACATTTTTAAACCTTTTTTTTTTGAATGAAGTATAAAGTATGTTATTTGCAACTACTACTATTTTACATAATAAAAGAAAAATTTATGCCCAGGTTTTTTCTTAAATAGTATGGCTCTTTTAATTAATAAAAATTGTATAGCAATTTACCAAACTCTTCCATATATCATTCCGTTTCTTAATCACAATGAACATGCGCTTCAGAAACTCCTGTTATCATTTTTATACCATAGAAAATATGTGTTCAAGTTCACAAAGTGGAATGATGGGAAGATTTGAAACCTGATGTCTCTAACTTTAGAGCCTATAAAATTATGCTACTTCCTTTGCCCTTGGTTAATGACATTGCCACATTTCTGAAAGACTGGCTAGATTAGAAGATGGAATTGATTTTGTGTTCACAGTAAGTTCTAAATGAAATTATGAAAATAAAAAATGTTTTGAGCTCTAACAAATCAGAAGACATCCCAGCTGTTTGGGAGGCTGAAGTGAGAGGACTGCTTGAGCCCAGGAGTTTGAATCCAGCAACTCACCAAGACCTCATCCATCTCTCTCCCTCAATTAACTAAAATAAAAAATAATCAAAAAACATAAAGTACTATTTTGTGTGCTAAACAGGAAAATAAATTTTTATTCAACTGTAGGTTCTAATAAAAAACCTCTAATACTCGCATTCTCACGCTCCTTTCTAAAGTTTCATACTATTTTCCCTCTATGATTAATCCTCAAAATTATTTAATGTACAATTAAGTGTTAATTTAGATTCAAGTTATGGCTATGTGAAAGGTATTTTTATAAAGAAAAATTTCATAAACGAATAAATGTGCATTTAAACAGTCAAAAACATTAGGTTGTTCATCAGATCAAATACAGCTAGAATCAAATGAGATGATACGTGTTTATATACATACACATGTATGTGTCACATAGATATTCAGGGGAAATTAAATTAAATGGAATCAAATTAAAATCAAATACCTAGATTTCCTTTTTGGAATCAAAGTAGCACATGCAAAGTGTAAGCAGGTATCAATGAAGGACAAATTCTAACACATAAAACTCAGGTGGGTCAGATATGGTAACACCTCTTTCTAATATTACCAAAGTGATGTAGGACAGTAAAAACATAAGACTAGTAATAGCCCTAAGTAAGACATAGTCTTACACTGTTATTGCCTGGCCCAGGGCTCTTATATAGTTAAGTCTTAAATTCCCTAAGTAGAGAAATTAATCCTTAATTTATATTCATTAGGTTGCATTTATTTCCTATAAAATCTATATGCTATAAAATATTAATATATACCTCTATCCAGAATCATGAAGGACAAATGAGATAATATATATGTGAAAGAATTTTGCAAACCACAATATAGCATTAAAAATCTTAGGTGTTATTATTACTGCTGCTTTTGGCCTTCAAAAGAAGCCGTGTTATCAATTAGCATTTATAACTTACATATTCAACAGAACTCACATTTCCCACGGTTCATGCAAAATAGCGATCTATTTATCAAGCACATAAGTATTTATGATGATAATTTAAAGTGTGTATTTTGAAACAGTTTTCTTGAGAAATCATTTCACAGTGAAATGAAAATGGTGGGTCACTTTTTCTTTATCACATACAATGTTTGTTCAGATGTTTTTCACATGTGAAATACAATAAAATAGTACCACACTGAAAGATCTGTCTTCCTATCGTTGCTTTGATATTTGAAGTAGTAGTACAGTCAGAACACAGATATTCATAGTTACTTTTTTCTATAAATAAATTACATATTAAATTGTGATCCCCCATTTTCCTACAGGACAAGAGTAAATACTCGTGATATGAGTTCCTTCAGATCAGACATACAACAATTATGATTTTAAAATGTAATGTTTCAGTGACAAACGTATTTTTAAAGTAATTTAGGAGTTGAATGAGTGTACTTTCCCATAAAAAAAATTATTTTCGAGTAAATATTTTCTAAGGTGAGATCACTAATATGAACAGACACATACATACAAGTTAAAATAAATCTAACATAGGAAACTGCAATTTTCTAGTATTAGGGAAATGATCAATTGTATGTTGAAAATAGCAGCTTTGGTTGAAACACTGATTGAGCTTCAATCCTTGAGCGGCAATATAACATAATTGCCAAAAGCCCTTCGGGCATGAGTGAAATAGATCCAAATTTTGACACTTCCTAGTTATGTCACAAGTGACTTCACTCCTAAGCCTTGGCTTTCTAATCTGTAAAATGGGTATGATGGTATTTACACCTCACAGAGGTACTGCAAAAATGAAATGTTATTAATTACACGACAAGTGTTTAGGAACTGGCAGAAACACAAAAAATAAATATTGATTATTATTAATTCAGTTCTACTAATTTGCTAATCATTAACTTACAGAATAGAAAGGGACCTATACTACAAAAATATCCCGAGGAATTCCCTGAATTTTCAAATCGTAATATCTTATCCCTGACTTCAGATTGATTAGTTATTTAAAAAAAAAAACAAATTTGAAATCGTCTAAGCTTTTCATTGTATCATTAATTAAAATTCAAAACTCTTAAAATCATTATCAGATAAATTGGAGTCTACATTGACGAAAGATTTAAAAACAAAACAGAACAGCTTATTTTCAGGCAGCTGACTATAATAGTCTCATACCTAACACAGTTCCAATCTTGTTGGTTAAGACGGAATCTGTCTGTTCGAGCCATCCTCCGCCACTGAGTCCTTCTTTAAACTTGATAAGAATGGACTGATTGCTCAGTAGGACGACGAGAATCCTCATTGCCGCCGTGACTGTGGTGGAATGCAAGTGTTCTTCCATGAACATCATGATCCAGTCAAAACCCAGCGTCTTGACCAGTTCTTCGCAAGCTCTGTTCAAAGACAGATGGATGTATATATATATATATAAATAATTTAAAAGATTAGGATTTCAAATTAAAACACAAAAAATAAGACTAGGCTTCATTATTTCAGGGCTAAAAAATTCTGTTTAGGCTGGGAACGGTGGCTCACGCCTGTAATCCTAGCACTCTGGGAGGCCGAGGCGGGAGGATCGCTCGAGGTCAGGAGATTGAGACCAGCCTGAGCAAGAGCGAGACCCTGTCTCTACTAAAAATAGAAAGAAATTAATTGGCCAACTAAAATATATAGAAAAAATTAGCCGGGTGTGGTGGAGCATGCCTGTAGTCCCAGCTACTCGGGAGGCTGAGGCAGGAGGATCGCTTGAGCCCACGAGTCTGAGGTTGCTGTGAGCTAGGCTGATACCATGGCACTCTAGCCCGGGCAACAGAGTGAGACTCTGTCTCAAAAAAAAAAAATCTGTTTAAAGTCAGTGGCCAGTACTTCTCTTGTCTAACATGAACAAAGCAGTACTAGCAATGGGTACAACCAATTCCAAAAAGGTTTTACTTACTGCAAATTAATGCTTGTCTTTTCTTTAGATGTATAAATTAGTTTTAGCAAGATATCTAGAAGTCTGTTCCTCAAAAGTATAAGATTAGCAGATACGAGACCTCCAAACTCCTCTTCCGTTCCTAAAACAAAAATAAATATATTAAATCCCCCAACAGGGCCGGGCGAGGTGGCTCACGCCTGTAATCCTAGCCACTTGGGAGGCTAAGGTGGGCGGATTTGGCTGTGAGGTCAGAGTTCAAACACCTCCTGAGCAAGCGAGCGAGACCCATGGTCTCTACTATAATATAGAAGAAATAATTGGCCAAACTAATATATATATAGAAAAAATTAGCCGGGCATGGGTAGCACATTCCTGTAAGCCTAGCTACTGGCGAGCCTGAGGCCAGGAGGATTGCTTGACGCCCAGGAGTTTGAGTTGCTGGTGAACTAGGCTGGAGACGTCACATCACTCTAGCCTGGGCAACAAGAGTGAGACTGCTTCAAAAAAAAAAAAAAAAAAAAGAAAAGAAAAGAAAATGAAACAGCCTTACTGCTTGCTGATAGGGATAAAAGTTTAGTGGTTCTGGATAGGAAGAATCACATCAGCCTCAACATTCCCTTAAGCCAAAGCCCCATTCAGAGCAAGGCCCCAACTCTCCCTTCCATTCTATAAGAGCTGGGAGAGGTGAGAAAGATGCAGAAGAAAAAGTTAGAAGCGAGCACAGGTTGGTTCACAAGGTTTAAGAAAAGAATTAGGTATAAGCTGAAACAGCAACTGCTGATGTAGAAGCTGCAGCACGTTACCCAGAAGATCTGGCTAAGATCATTGATGAGGGCGGCTCCAGAAAAACAACAAGATCATCAATGTAGATGAAACAGGCTTTTATTGGAAGAAGATGCCATCTAGTAGTTTCATAGCTAGAGAGGACTAGTCAATATCTGGCTTCAAAGCCTCAAAGGGCAGGCTGACTTGCTTATAAGTAGCTAATACAGCTGATGACTTAAAGCCAATGCTCATTTATCATTTGGAAAACTCCAGGGTCCTTAAAAATTATGCTAAGTCTACTCTACCTGTGCTCTAGAAATGGAACAATAAAGTCTAGGTGACAACCCATCTGTGTACAGCATGGTTTACTGAATATTTTAAGCCCACTAATTGCCACCTACTGCTCAGGAAAAAAGATTTCTTTCAAAATATTACTGCCCATCAACAATGCAACTGGTCATCCAAGATGTAGATGGAGATGTACAAGATTAATGTCATTTTCATGCCTTTTACCACAACAACATACATTCTGCAGCCCATGAATCAAGGAGTAATTTTAACTTTCAAGTCTTAACATTTAAGAAATACATTTCATAAGGCTATAGCTGCCATGGTCCGTGATTCCGCTGATGGATCTGGGCAAAGTAAATTGAAATCCTTTTGGAAAGCATTCACCATTCTACATGTCACTAAGAACACTCATGATTCATGGAAAGAGGTCAACATAATCATTAACACAAGTTTAGAAGAAGTTGATTCCAACCCCCATGGATGACTTTGAGAGGTTTAAGACCTCAGCGGAAGAAATACAGATTTGGTAGAAACAAAGAGAACCAGAATCAAAAGTGAAGCCTAAAGATACAACTGAATTGCTGCAATCGCACGATAGAACTTTAGCAGATAAAAGCTTCTTCTTACGGATAAGCAAAGAAAGTGGTTTCTTGAGAAGGAATCTATATTCCTGGTAAAGATGCTGTAAAACAGTGCTGAAATGACAAAGGATTCAGAATATTACATAAACCTAGTTGATAAAGCAGTGATAGTTTTTGAGAGGACAGACTCCAATTTTGAAAGAGGTCCTACTGTGGGTAAAATGCTATCACACAGCGTCACATGCTACAGAGGAACCACTGTTGAAAGGAAGAGTCAATCCATGCAGCCCACTCTTCAATAATGGTTGTTTTTTTGTTGTTGTTGTTGTGTTCTTGTTTTTAATTGATACATAATAATTGTCTGTATCTATGGGGTACAGTGTGATATTTCTATACATGTATATAATGTATAATTTTTAAATCAGGGTAATTAGTATATCCATCATCTCAAACCATGGTCTTATTTTAAGAAAATTGCCACAGCCAACTCCACCTTTACTAATTTACACATCCCTCTACAATGCTCTATGTATTAAAAAAAAAACTTTACAATACCACTGTGGTTACTGAATTTCATAGACAGCGAGGAAATATGAAGATCAGAGAACTATTTTTACTGTGTTTTTATACCTTGAAAAAAATGTGTTATGTATTTCCAACGATCTCTATTTTCACTTTCTAATTCATAACTACTCAGCTTATATTCAAATCAAAACTTAGAAATAATCTTTGCATATGGTAGAATAATATAGCAGTTAAAAGCTTAGAATGCTGGTTTGGACTACTTAGTTCCAGTGTAGGCAGTGGTATGACCCTGGGTATGTTTCTTTTAACTTACATCTTCCTGGGCCACAGTTTCCTCTCTTGTCAAATTGGAATAACAGTACCGATTTCATAGGGTTGTTGCAAGATTATATAGAACACTTAATGTGTGTTTTACATTGACCTGATCTTTACTCTTCTCATCCACTGCTAATTTGCTTCACCAAAGAAATACCGACTTTGCTCCATGTGAACTGGCAGAAGGTGATGGTCAGGGCTCTGACGTGCTGGTCCTGCCTCCATCGCTAACATACTATGACTTGCGGCTAGTCACTCAAATCTCCCCACCTCTCCTTTGAAAGCCGTGATTAGTCTGCTTTCCCGTATTCACGAAGCCCAGGAGAGGCTGTGCCCAGGAAGGACAGCCAGCCCGGAGAAGAACTCCTCTGGGAGGCAGTCATGCTTACTACGATAGTTATTTCTTCTTGAGCCTCCAGGAGGAAAGGGTTGTGAGAGTTTAAAGGAAACCATTTGTGTGACATGATTTTGGAATAACGTTAACAGGGTAATAATGTAAATGATGCTGAACACATTTCGGATTCTGTGAATTTAATTCCAGAGGTCAATCTAAAAGGCAACTCTCCTGTCCTAGAATATACAACTGGAAAAATATATGAGAACAAAGGGAGGAAAAAGAAGCATTATGAATACTCTAAAAATCGGAAAAGATTTTATTTTCCAAGTAAAATTAACACCCTGTTGAATTTTGTAGGCAACACTGTACTTCTATATATTGCATAGGCCTGAAATAAGATAAACACGTGTGTGAAAGACCACAAAAAGTAATGTAAGGAGAAAAGTGATATGATATTATGACATATACTTCAGTCAGGTCTAGTTTGTGCCAGAAGAAAAAGAGGCATGGTCATTAGCTGACCACACTAACTTTTCCAAACTCCAGAATCAACTCACCAGTGTCAAGCTTCTCTTCATTATTTATTTCCATAACTACAAATTTCTCACAAACTGCAAAGGTTGGCAAAGTAGAAGAAATAAACTGGCCAAACCTTTAAATAAAGGAAAAGAAAACGTTATGGATTTGATTTTTCTTCTCCCCAAAACAAACAACAAAGTACAAAGAAATAAAATACAAAGAAAAAAAAAATCGTGCTTATTTTGACTAATCTTTAATGGACCCTTAGGTGATTGTATTTGGTTTACTTCCTCTGGGCTATCTCAAGTGACATTATATACAATAATGTTCTTAAAATATAGGGAAAATACAGTTTTCCAGAAATACGAATTCTTTAACATACTAACACCCAAACTGTTTCAAGAACCAAACTGCACGATCCAAATTAAAATGTCCTAACGTTCTCTATATGGACCCACTGTAGTTGGGTTTACAGATAAGATTAAAATCCTGGCTCTTTTACTTTATAACCATATAACCTGGGACAAGTAGTTTAATTTCTGTGGGTACTTGGTTTCTTCACTTTAAAGTAAGGAAAAAATTAAAAACTTCGACATGTTTTAGCAAAGTGATCATTATAATCCTAGGATAAGTTTTAAATAATCGTTGTTGATAATGATAGTTACAATTCTCCAAAATAATTCTTCAGCTCCAGTTTTAAATCTGTCACTGAGTTAAAAAAAAAAAAGCAAACATGTTTTTAAGGTAAATGAATATAAAAGTGAGTGATTTGCAAGCACACAGATTAGATATTAGTCTATAGAGAATAATCAAATAAATGGGTATGAATTCATCTGAGATGCCTGGGAGATCACATGAAAAGGAGTGATCAAATCCAGACTAAACAATTCTCTACTTGGAAAATATTTTGCTTGGGGTAGTTTGTTTTTCTTGTTTTCTTTCCATAATACCCATAATCTTCCAAACTGGGGGTTGTCATGTGAACACAAGAACATTTCTCAGACACTCCCTAAATATGCCTTAAACCACATTTCACATTGTCAGCAAAATATTACTCACATTATACAAAAACTCTGAACATGCAATGATAAAACATCACCTTGTACTTGAGTAATAGAGACCAAATAGAAAAAAGATGGCATGTCCGCTCTAGGGGTGTGTGTGTGTGCATGTAATTACTAGTGCACGCACACTTATGAATTAGCAGGGCTTGGAGAAGAGAGGTGAGGAATTCCTATGCTGAACGCTTTTATGTCCAGGCCAGTCAATCTCCCTGGGCTAATTCCTTTACCCTTTCTCACCAAAATTCTATTACTCACTAGTGGCAACAACTGGCCTTGCTCCATAAAGATGCTAAGATGTGTGTGTTTTCCATGCCTCACAAATATCCTGAATAGTATTAACATTACAGATGTTATTACACAGGAATCGGAACCAATCGCATTCATCGTAGTCTCAGTGGCGCTTTCACTTTAATAACAAGACAAACAGAGGAGTCTTCGCTACCTGAGCAGGTCATTGCCGTTGGGGAAGCCTTGCAGCAAGAAGCTCAGCACGTTACTGATGGCAGCGATAGTGGGCTGGGACAGAGACATGTCTCGCAGAGTCAGTAGCAGCTTTGGGATTAACTGGAATTCCCTCATTAATTTGGCATTCTTTGAAGCTTCACTATAACAGAAAGAAGATTTTATGCAATGGACTATGCACCTTTCCCATAACTGAACAACCACATGGGTATGAACTAAATACCTAGACTCTGTGAGCAGTTCGATGAAGTGTTCAAATAAGGAAAGATGAAGTTCATACGGTGCGTGGAGCCAGACCTATAATAAAATAAAGAACAGTGGTATATTTAAGGTTAAAAAATACAATGCCAATCCAACAAACAGAAATATAGTACATGTAACTTATATCACATAATTATTTTGTAAAGCCCTATAAAACTGCTCGTACGCAGGGGAAAAAAAAATAGGGCAAATAAATAGTCCCCAAGGTAACAGAAATGATGAAATAAACCCACTATTAAAAAGTCCTAAATATGCCCCATATAATAAAGAATATAATGGAAAACATGAAAATGATAAGAAATGAAATGGAAGATAGCCAAAGCCCCAAAACAAACTACTAGACATGAAAAATAAAATACCTAAAATGAAAAATGTACTAGATGGTACCAGACTAGAAACTGCAGAAAAACAATTCAGTAAACTTGAAGACCCAACAATAGAAACTATTCAAAACGAACTGTAAGAAAAAAAATACTGAAAAGAAACAACCAGATTTAGTGTATTAGTGATTTGTGAGACAGTATCAAGCAATCTAAGATAGGTGTAATTGTTGTCTAGAAAAGGGACGGAGGCGCAAGAAACACAGTTCAAAAAATGGCTAAAAAATTTCATATTTGATGAAAATGACAAACTTACAGATCAATAAACCTAAGCAGAAGAGACATAAAGAGGACAACTGAATGACTGACATCTTTAAAATGGGAAAAGAATAAAAACAGTCAACTAGAATTCTATTCCATGCAAAAGTATCCTTCAGAAAGGAAGAAGTAGTAGACTTCTCCAGATGAGACCATACACTGCCAGCAGACCTGCACTACAAGAAATGTTAAAAGACTTTCTCCAGGCAGAAGAATTTTACAAGACAGAAATTTAGATTTACATAAAGGAAGAATGCCATCGATACTATGTATGTGGGCAAATAAAAAAGATTACTTAAATGTCTTTTAAAAATAATTGACCATTTAGAGCAAAAATAACACAAACTATTGTGGGGATTATAAACGTATAGAAGTAAACGGAATGACAACAATAGCACAGAGGATGGAAAGGGAAAAAGGGAAGTATTTCACTGCAGGTATTTATACAAGGTGTAATATTCTCCAAAGACAGACTGAATTGTTTTAGATGCATATTATAAATTCTAGAACAATCAGTAAAAAAGAAAATGCTTGTATGCTATTATAATTATTTTACTTGTATTTGTCCAATGGCTATTCAAAAACTGGAAGGAATTAGATACTGAAAGATCACTTGTGGTTTGGGGTGACTGGGGATGTTATACTAAAGCCATAAAGTGAGCAGGGTACTGTAAAATAAAGCCAAAATTTGTTAAGCAACTAAATTTCTGATGTTTGCGTATTAAATTTTAATCGGAAACCTAAAATTAAAGATAATCCTTGATTCAAATGTGTCAGTTACCAGATGAAAACAAGTTCAGGCTGAGTTAATGTCATGTTAATGGCAGGTCTCCTGAGTATTCCCATAATCCTTTCTGCATACCTCTCTGCTTTCATGAGTCTTAAATTATCTGTTTGTCTTTTTCTTCTAATGGACTAAATGCCTTGAGACATGGACTCTGCCTTTTGTTTTCACATCCTCAGTAACTAATACAGAGCTTGGCTCAAAAATATTCAGTAAGTGCTTTCTAAAAGAGTAAGAGGTTTGTGTATTAGAACTTTGAATACCAGGCTGAGACACATGTACTTTGCTGTGTAGGAAAAGAAATCATGGGAAGTTCTTGAATAAGTGATATGATTATGCCCTTGAAAGAATGAGGTCTCAAAGGATTGCCTGAGGAAAGGGGGAAAGAAGTGACTGTTATTCTAACAGACAAGAGAAGAACTGATTAGGGCTTTGAATAGGATTAGAAGCAGAAAAGGTAGATTATTTAGAATGTGAAAGCAGACTCCACATGATTTAACACCAGATTTTTTATAGACAGAGAGGAAGAAGGAAACTGATTTTTCAATTTCAATGATGGTATGTCTTTTTAGTTTAGTTTATTTATTTATTTATTCTTTTTAGTTTTTTTATTCATTCATTCATTGAGACAGAGTCTCACTTTGTTGCCCAGGCTAGAGTGCTATGGCATCAGCCTAGCTCACAGCAACCTCAAACTTTTGGGTTCAAGTGATCCTCCTGCCTCAGCCTCCCGAGTAGCTGGGACTATAGGCACACACCAGGACGCCCCACTGATTTTTTTCTATTTATAGTAGAGACAGGGCCTCACTCTTGCTCAGGCTGGTCTCGAACTCCTGAATTCAAGCGATCTACCCACCTTGGCCTCCCAGAGTGCTAGGATTACAGGCGTGAGCCACCGCGCCTAGCCTTGGTGGTATTTTTAATAGAAACAGGGAAGTCAGAAGAAAGGACTAATTTGGGGAGGGATGTTAAGGTGCTACTGGGACATAAAAACAGAAATATTGAGCAAGAACTCAGAAGTAAGTCTGGTATTCAGATGTGAAGGTTAGAGATTAAGATCTGAGGGTCAACTCCATAGACACGAGGCTGTGGGACTAAGTGAGAGTTTAAAGGAAAGAGAACAACAAATAAAGGAAAATATAGACATTTTTACGTAGAATACCGAACACTCTATGGACAGAAGATTATAGAGAAAGTAGTAAGAAAGACACACCCAGGCGAGTGATTCCTGAGGGCTACCGAGAACAGTGCGAGTTGAAAGAACGGGGAAACAGACTCTATCAAACGCTACCGAGGGCTGTGGATGCTGAGAGCCGAGTACAAGCCATACATTTTACCTAGAAGGAGGCTGTTCACCAGCTTTGAAAATGGTTTCAGTGAAGCAATGAGGGCACAGAGTCTGGGAGGGAACCTTCCAGTGGTTACGAGGAAGAAGAGTCAGGGCCTAGATATCACCGGCAGCAAACACAGTGCCAGGCACTGTGCTGGGTGGTGGGGACACAGAGACAGATGAGATAGAGACGATCTCTGCTGTCATAAAGCCTGCAGATCCCACAGTCTGACAAGGGTATATTACATCTGTTTAGTGTGCGGCGACGGTGGGTACCATGCCACGTACCGTAGACAAGAAGCTGAGTGGAGAGAGGATGTGAGTGGTTAAGTGCCGTCTTAAGAGAACAGGGTACACGCTGCTATGGGCAACGACACAGCAGAAATGAAAATCCTGCAATTCTGGTAAAACGAAATGCTATTAATGTACTGTGTAGCTGCCAGTAACCAAAATTACAGGTGCAGATTCCCATTTCCAATTATCGAGGAAAAGTTTCTATCAGAACTGTTTAACGAAACTGTATTTGCCCCTTATCATGCCACTGGCAATGGCGGATTAGCTTAGAGACATGTGCTGCACCACTTCACTTCTAAAACATTTACAAAAGGGAATGTCTTGGAGAGAAGGAACCCTGTCCACTTGCTCTACTTTTTATATATTTTGCTAAATGACATTAACATGAACATGAGAAAATGACAGGACTTTAGACACATCTTACAGATAAGATAGGTTTAACTCCATAATCGCACAAGAAGAAATGGGTTCACTGATTATCTACTACCGGTTAGTGTTTATGTACGTACTTCAAAATCGCAGAGGAGGTCCTGAAAAGCGGTTGAATTGGGAATAATGGAGGTCTCGTGTCCACTGTCAACAGTCCCCACCAAAGAGAAAGTTAGGTGGAGGATGTGGCTGTTGAGAAGCGAACGTTTCTTCTTGAGCAGCATGGCCAGCAACTGCAAGAAAGTGACAGCAAATGCCTGTTGATAAATCATCATATGTATTACACAGACAGACAGACACACACACACATACACACACACACGCACGCACGCACATACCCACAGACAGACACGCCGGAGAATCCTATGGAGAGCAATTCCTGAGACTTCCAAACTGACTTCTAAATTTTTATTATGAAAATATAACATTAGAGAAAATCTGATGAACAAAGTGATCCTATCACTCTATTATTAAAATATCTACTTTTACATGAACCCATAATTTAAATAGTTGTTGCCATTGTGTGCATACAATTTTGTACATTTTTCTCCCCATGAAAGGATTTTTTTTCTTTCGCGAAACAGTCTCCATAATTACAATTTTAAAGGGCTGAATAATACGCTAAGGGATGTTTTCGGTATAATTACTCATTCTCGTATTGTTGGTACATTTAGATTGTTCCTAGTTTTTATGATGAACAATGCTACCAATAATCATTTTGAAATTTTTCCAAAGCACTTATGAAAATAGTGTAATTATATCTACATAACACAGTAATCAGTATATTCGCCACCAAGAACTAACGGCTAAAGTTGTAGAAGGTATCTGTGCTTCATCTAAGATAGAAGAATTTAATCTTGTTTCAAATATTTGTTTCTCCTCTTACAGATAACTTTCTGCCTAAATCTGGTACAGACTGTAAATACACGAACGCTGTGTGTTTTTAATTCCACACGAGTTTTCAGGAATAGCAATGCCCTGCTCATTATATAGTGGCTTCCACATCTTCTGAGGAAGGGAGGTAAGAGATCACAAAGCGGAGAGACAAGGAAAAGTGGGGAGAGCCCCGGCTCCACCACTGATCCAGCAATTTCTCAAGGGGACGGTGACAGGACTCTCTTTCATTTCATCCCTATTTCCACAGAGAACAACAACATGCAAAAAATAAACATGCAAATCATCGTTCTGAAGATACATACAGCTGTTATCAAAGCAATGTTAAGGCCGGGTGCGGTGGGGTGGCTCACGCCTGTAATCCTAGCTCTCTGGGAGGCCAAGGCAGGCGGATTGCTCGAGGTCAGGAGTTCAAAACCAGCCTGAGCAAGAGCGAGACCCTGTCTCTACTATAAATAGAAAGAAATTCATTGGCCAACTAATATATATAGAAAAAATGAGCCGGGCATGGTGGCGCATGCCTGTAGTCCCAGCTACTTGGGAGGTTGAGACAGAAGGATTGCTTGAGCCCAGGAGTTGGAGGTTGCTGTGAGCCAGGCTGACGCCACGGCACTCACTCTAGCCTGGGAAACAAAGCGAGACTCTGTCTCAAAAAAAAAAAAAAAAAAAAAGAAAAAAAGCAATGTTACAATACTAATTCAATACAAGCCTAATTCAAGGGCTTCGTAAGACTTGAGATAAATGAAGAAAATAATTCATATTCTCATTTGACACACGTTAATTTTAATATTAAAAAAAATGCTGGTTCTTTTAAGTTTATTGGGACACTGTCGTTCTTCCAAGAGTTTGAAGCGACGTGAGTAACCACGAAAACAAGAACGTTTTTTCTGGTGCAAAGTGAAGTGACAGCCAAGCTCTGCGGTCACAAACCAACCTGGTAGCCCTTGATCCTCTCCATCTCTTTGCTGGCTAGTGGGTTACTCTTGACCACACAAACCAGGGCCTTGACGGCCGCGTACAACCCCTCCACGTCAGAGGCCATGGCCACCAGGCCCAGGATGGCGGCGGCTCCACCGATGTACTGCAAAGTAGTGGCAACAGGCTTAGGGACAAACGTTCTTACTCCTGATTAAGAGACAGTGAAAGATAATTAAAATGATTTCCCCGCGTGAACAAGAACTGCACAGATCATCTTAAGAAGTTTGCAATTAACCATAAACTTTATCTCTAAAAGATAACTCTGTCCTAAAACCCAAATTCTAAAGAAGACCAAAACAAACAAAAAAAATTAAATGGTAGAATTTGGGAGAAGACAATAAATACGGATGCACCTACTCTCAGGGAAGAGTCTGGGAACAGAGGAGGGAGCGGAGAAGATCGGAAAGGGCTTTAGAGCAAGCACACGCGTTTCTGCTGTAGGCGGCACTCAAGGTGCAGAAGTTTTGGGAATGTATTTTGTGGGATGTGTGAGTGGCTTAGTAGCTTCTGCTGGGAAATAAAACTTGGGGAGAACAGAATCACCTCAATTCTGTGAACTGGGGGAGGCGTTAGAGAGCCCACCCTGGCAGGGATGAAGTATTTTGTAGAGATAAGCCAAGGAAAAAGCACATTGCTGAATATTACCCAGAGCTTCTACTAGCTAAATAATCTGAGTAACAGTCCATCAGTGACCACAGGAGCGCATAACTTTGTGGAAACATAGTTCTGGAACTAACTGTATCGGTCAATTAAAAAAAAAAAAAAAATCACATCTACATTCCTAACATTTTTTGAAAGGCACTGTTTGAATGTCACTTGCCCAGTGATCAGGATTGAGATTTTTTTAAAAAATAAATTACCCTGCATTTTACATTTTTTACGTGCATTGCAGTATTTACAGTACTTCCATACATTTTGGCACTGGATTGTGAAAACTGCCCTCGAAGGTAATTAGGGCCAGTATTATTAGTTTATGGACAAGAAAACTGAAGTTCATAGAGCTTATGTGTCTGGCACAATGTCACACAGTAACAGATGAGGGGCTACAACCTAAACCTCTGAACTTTTCATTCACTGCTCTTTCCACTGTACCCCAGTGCTGCTACATACTTGCAAAAAGGACACAAAGCAGCACTCAGTGAATATTGGTTGAACAAAAGAAAACCATTATGTGCTTCAGAGTAAATAAAACTCCTGTATTAATGTAATATCATCAATAAAAGAAAAACAATGATGGGCGCACATCACCGGGACAATAAAAATTGCCAAAGGCTGATAGACATGTGGGATTCTGACCAACACAACATTTTTTTGTTAATCTAAAAAGGACCCAATATTACCTACTGATCTATACAGTGAAAGGCATAATCACTGGATCTGAAGTGGATTATGTCTCAAGATTCTATCCAATCAAAAAAATCAACTGCTTTAAAAGCAGACATTATGTACAAGGCTCTATAGAATGTCCATCAGCTCTTTTGTTGTTCTGACAGAGTCTCGCTCTGTCATCCTGGCTAAAGTGCGGCGGCATCGTCACACCTCAGATTCAGTGTTTATATTCCAAAGCTTTTAGTTACAGCTCATTTCTATTAACAGAAGCTCTCAGGAGCAAGACCACTGCTACACCGAACCATGAAACAATCAACAATAGTTATGAATTTTAACACCTGTCCTTAAATGTAGTTTGAAGTTTACCTAAAAATTACACAGAAGTATGGTAGTTCATTCATACTCATCAGCGCTGACAAAAGGAAAATGGTAGGATCTTATTATGAAAGGTTATGAGTTTCAAGTCGACTGGAATTTGAGACTGTGATACTGATCTCCAAATATTACAAGAACACTCCAGGTCAGTGCTATAAAATATGAACCTAAAAACTACCCCCTCAAGTAAGCAAAGAGAATGCAAACCTGCAGGACAACAAAGAAGTATGAAACAACAGAAACAATGCAACTCACCCAAGTATCCAATCAGAGCAGCCCCAACTGTCCGGGCGGGCCCGTTGAGATGACCTGCTGAATTGTGTATCAGCTTCACGGGAGTGGCATTCTCATGGGAGGAAATGCCTAACTGAAGAATAGGAAAGGAAAATAATGTAACTACAGAATAGTCTCAACGCTTTGATCGGAAAAGACACCAAACGTGTAATTGGTAACGTCTCTTTCCTCTCCTCCCTTATCGGAATGTGGAAAAAAGAGCAATCATTTTTAAAACTGTACAAACACTTCCAAAGCGTGGAAACTCACAGAAATAAAGTTTCTGTGAATACAGTCTACTGGGACACGGATGGCAAGGACATCTTGGGACACAGCTCCAGGGGTCTTTCTGAATGGAATCCTGTTGTGTTTTGAAGGCTGTTGTCATTCACTGCCTCACGGTATTCCTGATCAGTGAACATCAGCTTTACTCCAAAGCTGAGTAAACTGGCCACGAAATTATTCAAGAGTTCGATAGATAAAGCATGCCTATGTAAAGGAATGTTAAATTCTGTACATGCACACAGGATCTGTTTTCAAAGCAAACGTAACCCTAGTGCTTTAATTCGGGTAACATTTAATTTAGGTAGTTTATGTTCCTTAGAGTTCCTTAAGGAACAAACACAAACACACACACACACACACACACACACCTCTGCACAAAAGCTGTCAATCCTTACCGCTCCCCAGTCTCTTTTGATTTCTCTCCCCTTGGGCTTTCCCTCCGACAAGCAGCCAAAATGGCTTTACAAGCCCGATGATGAATTTCTACATTGTTATACCCCATGGCCAGTCCTCACCCCTCATCTTATCTGATGGCTTAACACACTCGCCACAGTGATCTCCACAGCACCAGACCCTCCTGGGTTTTCTCCTTTCTCCCAACACTGTTACTTCTCAGTCTTCTCCTCTGGTTTTTCTTTTTCTCCCCAACTCCACGACACCGGCATGTCCCAGGTTTCAGCACTGAATGCTTTCTTTTCGCCATCTACACCTCATGCTTCGGTGAACACACACAGTCTCGTGGCTTTAAACACCACATGTGAACATCCACGGAACTCAAACTTCTACCCTGAAGTCCAGGTCCGTATTTCCAATGGTGTCGATCTCTCTACTAAGATGTCTAAGACAACACGTGTCAAACTTACCTAAAACAGAATTCTTGACATTACCCCCAAAATCTATTAATCTTGTAGTTTTCTCTAAATCAGAAAAGGTGACCCCATTTTCCTTACTGTTTAAGAATAAAGCCTTGGACTTATCCTGAACTCGCTCACATTCCACACCTATCCACGTTCCACCACCAAAACCTGTTAGCTCTACCTTCAAATATACCTGAAATCTGGTCACTTCTTTTTTGTTTGTTTTCGGGACAGAGTCTCACTCTGTTGCCCAGGCTAGAGTGAGTGCCGTGGCGTCAGCCTAGCTCACAGCAACCTCCAACTCCTGGGCTCAAGTGATCCTCCTGCCTCAGCCTCCCAAGTAGCTGGGACTATAGGCATGCGCCACCATGCCCGGCTCATTTTTTCTCTCTCTATATATTAGTTGGCCAATGAATTTCTTTCTATTTATAGTAGAGACGGGGTCTCGCTCTTGCTCAGGCTGGTTTCGAACTCCTGACCTCGAGCGATCCGCCCGCCTCAGCCTCCCAGAGTCTGATCATTTATTGACACTACTGCCGCTATCACCCCAGTTATGGCCGCCAAAATCGCTCGTAGGAATTGTTCACTGAATTGGCCTCATAACTGGTCTCCCTGCCTCCGCCTTTGTTTTTTCTTTGATCTTTTCTCCATAGGAGAAGTCACAGTGACCCCGATTAAAACAGAAGTTACAACATTGCCCACCAATGTCTGCAACCCCATGATGCCTCCTGTCTCAGTAAAAGCCCGTGTCCTTACAATTGCCTGTAAATCCTAAACCATCTGGCCCCATCACCTCTCTGGGCTGCCCCCTCCTGAGACCCAGGCTTTCTCTCATTTCACTCTACCCACACTTGCCTCTGCAGTCAGCACGTACAGTGCTTTCTCGGGGGCTTGCATTTGTATTCCTGAAATACAAAACACGCTCAAGCCCACATACACGTCCCCCTATTCATATTCCTGTGGCTTGATGCCTCCTCTCTGTTAAGTCTTTGCTCAAAATCCACCCTCTGGGTGAAGCCTCTTGTGACCATCATATTTAACACTTGCAGCTTCTTTCTTCTCCCCCCTGTCCGTTCCCTGCTTTATTCTACTGCTCAGCACTCAGCCCTTTCTAGCATACTTTATGATTTGGGTCTATCTGCTTAGCTATCATCACCTGTCTCTTCCACTAGAGTGTAAGAAACAGAGGCAGGCATTTTCTTCTTATCCTTGACCCAATTGGTGCCTGACACAAGAGCTGCTGAGTTATAGCCTTAAAAATAGGATTTTTTTTCCTTTAGTTTTGTAAAGTTTAATTTAATTGCCGGTATACGAGAATTAATATGAATCATGAGCTCATTAACAGAAAGAAACTGTCACTTTTCCCAATTTAGCTAAATATCTAAATGTGTTTTGGCTTACATTAGAAGTCAAATAAACCAAACATAAATAGTACACGAAAGGCACTATTTTTAGCAACTACTCGTAACTGCACAGTATTCACAAGAGGTTCTGAAATACGTTCCCAGTAAGAATCAGCCCTAGTTCGCTGGGAAATCATTCTGCTTACCTGCTTGGCAATGGCTTTGCTGTCCAACTTATTGTACACTTTCCGGATTCTTGCCACGGTTAGGGAAGACACAGACAGGGCGTAGAGGCCAAAGGACACCTTTTCCTCTGGTACCAACGACACAGGGGATGGGATGACCCCTTCGGATTTTGCATCTTTACCTTCAAAACAAGAATAATTCTTTTTTAAATCACTAGTCATTCTCCTTATCCTAACACAAGTTTTTGTGTTTTTTTTTATTCTTACTATCATTTTTCAATGGGTGGACTTGAAAAATCTTTTAAAGTGGACTAAGAGAACTAAATAAAAAAATATATTTTACCTAATTTTCGGCTTTTCATTTGTTTAATTAGAAAATAGAGGGGAAAAAAATCTAAGCATAGAGCTCGAATGCCCAGTTTTACTCTTAAAATATGCTTAACAGATAGCACAATGTAAGAGAAGAGAAAGTGTTTTAACTGTTATCTGATATATCGTAAAACACGCCCTCCCAGATTCAAAGGAAAAAGGGAATGAAACTGAATGGATGCCTCTGAGCTCTGCAGCTCCAAGCCCCCTCCCCAAGAAGAGCCCTCCTCCGCGCCGCCCATATCATTCTAGACAACACAACAGAGTGGTTAAGAGCACACGTTTTGAGGCCAAATGACCTGACCTTGAATACTGCTTTATCACTTAAACGCTGGATGACTTATACCTCTCAGTGCCTCAGTTTCCTCATCTGTGAAATGGGGGTAATAATGACAGTACCTATTTTTATAGTGCTTTGAGAGGAATGAATCCAAGTGAAGGGCTCAGAACAACTCTGTCTTTCTTGCATATTAACTTAGCACATAATGCTCGATTAAGTATTAGCTCTTGATTAGATACTACACCTTGATTTAATCAAGGACATGGGTAAAAAGACCAACTACTAAGTCATAGGATGATTACTATTTACAACATACCTCTCCTCCCCCGGCTGAGACCCCTGGCAGAATGAGAACAAGGGAATAAAAGATACCATTTAGAAGAGGTACTAGAAAGGAACTGCCAGCTTAACCTTAGTACCTTTAATTCTAAATTTTGGGGGGGAGAAAGGATAACAAAAAGTGGACTGTAGGAGTAAAGAGATGAGGAGAGGCTGGCCGTGGTGGCTCACGCCTGTACTCCTAGCACTCTGGGAGGCCCAGGTGGGCGGATTGCTCGAGGTCAGGAGTTCGAAACCAGCCTGAGCAAGAGCGAAACCCCGTCTCTACTATAAATAGCTAGAAATTAATTGGCCAACTAACATATATATAGAAAACATTAGCTGGGCATGGTGGCGCATGCCTGTAGTCCCAGCTACTTGGGAGGCTGAGGCAGGAAGATTGCCTGAGCCCAGGAGTTTGAGGTTGCTGTGAGCGAGGCTGACGCCACGGCACTCACTCTAGCCTGGGCAACAAAGCGAGACTCTGTCTCAAAAAAAAAAAAAAAAAAAAAGATGAGGAGAAATGTTAATTGGTCTAATCTAGAGAATATATGTATGTTTATCAAACACACCCATGCTTCCTTTAGTAACTAGCTATGCTTTAACTTGCTTTATACAATAGGAAAAATTACAGAAAGAACAGGGTTTAGATCAGACTCTCAGGAGAGTATACACTTACATCTTGGAGCCAGTAAAAGAAACTGGATAATTAGTGATCAGGCATAAAAGACAAACATTCAGGAAAGTACAGTGTGATCAGTGGAGAAGAGCATTTTATATAGGAGCAAGTGGTCAATACAGTGTCAATATAGTGGTCAATAAGTGGTCAATATAGTGGAGAAGGCCCTTTTCCTAGATAGACGTGCATACGACCTTACACACATACCCATCTATAGCACTGCAGGAGTTAAGTGTCATCAAACTTCAAGAACTAAGAGTAAGTTACTCACACGGCATACATACAGCCTGAAAACTTCCAACATAGTTTGGTCCCAGTTCATAAATGGTAGTAACACTTGAAGGAGGTAAAACTTCCTCTAGAAAATGAGTGGGTCCCAGGCGCCAAACCAGTGAAGCAATCTGGCGCTGGGCAGGCGGGGTGCCAATGTAGGCATAGACTGTGCTCACCACGGGTGGATTTGCAGAGCTTGAACCCCCAGAAGTACTGTGAACATAATGAAGCTACAAGAAAGACAAAAGCAAAATGAGTGAGAATGTGAAAAATCACTTTCACCAAAAAAAAAAAATAACGACTTCGGCTGTTTATATTTTCATTATCCCAAAGTTACGCAACTTTACAAATGCACAAAAACATCTGGGGCTAAGGAACATAAGGGTGGGGGCAAGATTCAGGGGTCTGTACCTATGCACCAAATATGGTAGGTGAAAACTTGTTACCCAGCACTCTAACACAGACAGACTCTTTAATGCTAGAAATGGCAACAAATATCGGGATATCATCACCGATGATTGGCTTACATATCCAATTCATGATGCTTCTCCGAAATTTTAGTGGTGATATAAAAAAAAGGGAGATTTCCACTATGGAATTCAAGGAGTCTTAAAAGTAACCGTTACCTTCAATGTGAGGCTTTTAACTAAAATTATTGAGGAAAGTGTTTTGCAGGGGTAAAGTACTAGAAAAATATTAAGAAAAATGAATAGTCTGTATACACACTGCAATTTATGCTCTTACTTATTAATCTCAATGTAAAGGACGAACCACTATTGATTGGCACTCCCAGATTTGAAATTGTACTACTGCTTAACGAGGTGCCTGAATTACCATTCCATTCACTTATATAGATGTATAATTAGGTAAAGTAGAACAGATAAGGAAATTAAGCTGCTTTTTCTAGCAGAAGCAGCTTTAATCACTTAATGTTGCCCTCTCTCCTTGCTTACACCATCAGCTCAAGCCACAGTTAGGTTTGTTTCATTTTATTTTCAATGGTTAGAGATTGCCTTTTAAATTTTAATTTTATAATTTAGTTTTATCATTATATAAAACATTTGCATGGTTCCAAAGTTAAATCCACAAAACAAAACATATTTAAACTAACAAGGAAGGCTAGCTTTCATCTCTGTCCTATCTATACCAGTACTTCTTTCCCCCAAAAGTAGTCATTTTTGAAATATATGGTCTGTTCTTCCATTGTTTTCTTAATATAAGCAAATACTAAATATTATATATGTACGTATAAGTTTTATATATACCCCCTTTTTTGATCAATAACAGCATGCTATTGTTCTTTCTACCTTTCTTTGGTCACTTGACATTCCCTGGAAGTCACTCCACAACTGTACATAGGGGTCATCCTCATTCCTCTTGTGCAGTATGTACTCAAGCAGGTAAGGAACCTGCTTGAGTAGCCCCCAACCCCTGGGCCACAGCCCAGTACCAGTCTGTGGCCTGTTAGGAACCAGGCCGCGCAGCAGGAGGCGAGTGGCAGGCGAGCCAGGGAAGCTTCATCTGTGTTTACAGCCCTTCCCCACTGCTCGCATCACAGCACAAGCTCCGCCTGCCAGATCAGCGGCAGCGTTAGATTTTCATAGGAGCGTGAACCCTACTGTAAATGGCAAGAGCGAGAGAGGGATCTAGGCCATGTGCTCCTTATGAGAATCTAATGCGTGATGGTGTGAGGCAGAGCGCAGGTGGCGGCTGAAAATACCAATTATCATTAGCAGAGAGGTTTGAGTGTGCGATAAATGTAAAGCACTTGAATCACCCTGACACTATACCCCCTTTTCCTCCCCACCCCCCAAATCCATGGAAAAATTGCCTTCCATGAAACTGGTCCCCGATGCCAAAAAGGTTAGGGACTGGTGACTTAATGGGATGAAGGACATTTCCATCATTATTTTGTCCTAACATCGTCTCAGCTGCAGATCCCATCTGTTATTCGATATAGTAAACAACAACTCTTGGTGATGTTAATAGTACGAATGTGAAGACCAACATGTGAACTAAAGTTGATTTCATAGTACTGTGACTACTCATAGGGAAGGTGATGCAAATTATATTAATAATAAATTTCTTATCCTTAAATTCTAGAACCTGAGACTATTTTTATGACACTAAAAAAAAGGAGTAACCTACTACAAAATCTACAAATGCAATCATGTATACAAAAAGTTAATGACTATTCTCATGAGGTTCATTGTAGGGTTTATCATATTGAAACACAGTGTCAAAATATATCATTAAGGAAGGAAATGTATTAAAAGCTGCTGCTAGTTTCAGTGATTTTAAACTTTAATTCACACAAAATGACAAACTTTGCCTTTGTTACTTCTTTTAAGTGATACCATTCTAAAATGGATACTATCTTTTAGAACGTAAAGAATTTTAAGAGTTTGCTTGCTGAGTTCTGTACAAAATAACTAGCAGCATTCATCCTGATTTAGAAAATGTAGTTTCATCTGTTTCTTTACTGGTTACTTCAACTTCTCTTCTCTCTCGTCTGAATACCATAGTGTAAGCTACCTAGAGTAATGTTTATGTACTCACTCATTCAACAAACAGTAACATGAATACCTATCATTATAAGGGAATAAGCTGGGTGATCTGAAAACAAAAGGAAAAAAATAATTCTGGCTGAAAAGAAATATAGAGTCTTCTGGACTAAATTACAATAATAAAAATGAAGTGACAAAATAATGTGTTCACAGTTACTAGGAATTCTTCTACTGGCTTTTCCTCTTTTTAAATTTTTCTTTTGAAATTTTATTAAAGAGACAGGTTCTTGCTCTGACGCCCAGGTTAGAGTGCCGTGGTGTGACCATAGCTCACTACAACCTTGAACTCCTGGACTAAAGGATCTTCCTGCCTTAACCTCCTGAGTAGCTTGGATTACAGGCACCCAGCTAAATTTTTTTAAAAAAACATTTTTTGTAGAGACAAGGTTTTGCTATGTTGCCCAGCCTAGTTGCAAACTCCTAGCCTCAAGTAATCCTCCAACCTGGCCTCCCAAAGCAGTGGGATTACGTGCTGAGTCACTATGCCTGGCCTCAGCTGGGTTTCTCTATTATGAAAAAGCACTTAGCGCAATCCCATTGCTGGGCATCTACCCAAAAGATCCAATGACACTCTACAAAAAAGACACCTACACTCGAATGTTTATAGCAGCACAATTCATAATTGCAGGGCTGTGGAAACAGCCCAAGTGCCCATCAATCCAAGAATGGATTAATAAAATGTGGTATATGTATACCATGGAGTACTATTCAGCTCTAAGAAACAATGGTGATATAGCACATCTTATATTTTCCTGGTTAGAGCTGGATCCCATACTATTAAGTGAAGTTTCCCAAGAATGGAAAAACAAGCAGCACATATACTCACCAGCAAACTGGTATTAACTGAGCAGCACCTAAGTGTTCACACAGGTACTACAGTAATAGGGTATTGGGCAGGCGGAGGGGGGAGAGGGGCGGGTATATACATACATAATGAGTGAGATGTGCACCATCTGGGGGATGGTCATGCTGGAGACTCAGACTTGTGGGGGGAGGGGGGAAATGGGCATTTATTGAAACCTTAAAATCTGTACCCCCATAATATGCCGAAAAAAAAAAAATTAAAAAAAAAAAAAAGCACTTAGCAACCTAGTTAAGCTCTGACACATTCAGTAACTTTAGTACCTATAAACCCCTCAGTTATTTTCTTCCCTAATAAAGTGGTAAGAAATAGCCACATGATTCTAACATATTATTCAAATGGATAATGAAGGTCAACTTAAAATTAACAAAATACACACCACCCTCCAAAGCATCCTGTAAAGTGGGTAGCTTCACAGGTGTGCGCGTGCTTATTACCTTGACAGTGTTCACAAGCTGTCCATCGATGTAGAGGGCTGCGGTGCTGTTTTTCAACATGCCTTTGCTCATCACCAGAACCAGATGGTGCCACTGTCCCTCGACTATGAGCTCTCCGCATCGAAAGCGAGCACAGCACGGGAGAATCTCATAAAATGAGGATTCTTCGCTAAAATCATCAACTGAAATAAAGGAGGAGGGGAGAAGATGTAAAAAAAAACAAACAAAAAAAAACTTTTCCAACATCATTCCTGTTCTAACATCAGCATGTTTTGACTTTACATTAAAATAAAATGATAATGCAAATGAAGACACACTATTCATTCAACAAACCTATCTGTAGTAAGAAGTAAAACCTAGGAGATATTTTTACTTTCTTCCGCTCAAGATACATATATAGTTATAATCGAATAAAGTTACAATAGCTGATGAAGTAAAAAATAAAACAAAAATATTATGATAAATAATAAAGAGACTAGTTGACACCAAAACCAAAAATAAATGAGGGAGACTATATCAATCTGAAAAACTTTTGCATAGCAAAGGAAACAAGCAAAAGAGTAAAAAAAGCAACCTACAGAATGGGAGAAAATATCTGCAAACTGTATGTCTGATAAGGGGTTAATTTCAAAAATATATAAGAAACTACAACAACTCAATAGTAGAGAAACTAATATCCCAGTTAAAAAAAACGGGCTAAAGACTTGAATAGACGTTTCTCCAAAGGCACACAAATGGTGGAAAAGATGGTGAAAAGATGCTCAAGACCCCTAATCACCAGAAAAAGGCAAACCAAAACCACAATGAAACACCGCCTTACACCTGTCAGAATGGTTATTATAAAGATACAAAAACAGCTGTTGTTGAGAATGTGGGGAAACTGGAACCCTTACGCACTGTTGGTGGGAATGCAAAAATGCTGTGCAGCCGCTGTGGAAAACAGTATTGAAGGTTCCTCAAAAAACTGGAAGTAGAACTAAAATATGATCCAGCAATACCACTTCTGGGTATTTATCCAAAAGAACTGATTTTGAAGCAGCATTAGCACTCCTATGGACACATGACTGGATAAAAAGAAAACGTGGTATATGCGTACAACAGAATACTAGTCGGCCTTCAAAAGAAGGAAATTATGCAATATGGGACCACACAGATGAACCCTGAGGACACTGTGCTAAGTCAGCCAGTCACAGAGAAATACTGCTCGATGTCACTTACATGAGGTGTCTAAAAATAATTAAAATCACAGAAAACAAAGAATGAAACGGTAGCTGCCGAGGGCTCGGAGGAGGGATAAATGGGGAGTTGCTTATCAACCAGCATAGAGTTTTTGAGTCAAGTTAAGATGGATAAGCTGCAGAGATCCGCTTATCTATCATATCTATATAACATCATATCCATAGTCAACAGTAACGTCTTATAACTCTTTGACATGCGTCTGATTGCAGCATAAGGTAGAAAAAGAACCAAGAAAATGTAAAGTTTATTCTTGCGAAGTGCTACGCTCAACGATATGAGGGGACGACTATCTGTCACTAGTTTGTGGCTGTACTGCCCAGAGCCTTTACCAACAGCAGCTGGGAGTAAGAAGACAGGGGCACAGAACAGGTATTTGTGGATTCCAGACAACTCCGTCCCAGATATATATTCTGATTTGCTAACATTCCACAATCACTCCCTGACATCATTCTGGCTTCTCTCTGCTGTCCAGTGTGGCACCAGACTGTACAAAGAGATAATGGGTTCATAGCTTGGGATAGGAATAATAAAAAAAAAAAAAAATTTGGATTTTTTTTTTCCCTGGGGTAAAAAAACCTAAAGCAACACAAAACGATGATTCCTCCCCCCCCCATGAAAAGCAGGTTGAGTACAAAGACCAAAAGTGAGACCCTGGAGAATACTAATCTTGAGGGGCAGATGGAAAAAGAATGCTATTGCGAAAGTGAAGTCAGAGAAATAGCAAAGGGACAAAAGAGTGGGTATCCCAGACTGTAAGACTCAAGTTTCAATTAGGAGGAAGAAGTCAACAATTACCGGCAAGGGACAAATAAAGTGTCATGACAAGAATTCTAACATATTAACCATGTTGACGCCTAGCTCAGCGCTAGGCACATGAAGAATACCAAGACAAGAAACCTTACGATCTAACTGAAAAGCTAAAATTCACATTCAATTAGTATTTACTGAGTACCAACCACATATCAATCAATATGATACTATCTTATTTACTTAAAAGAAAATTAGGCGATGGACTCAAAAAGAGTGCATTTATATACAAAGGCTTCTATTCAGAGCAAAGAAAACTGGGTAAACTGAGATTTATACTTTATGTTATTGACATCATTTAGAACGATCTTCATGAATGTCTTCAGTTTAAAGATACAGCAAGGTGAGGTCACGGCATGTTGGAGGGAATGAGGATTATGATATGGTATTTTTAAGCCTTGAAGGTTAAGTGACAGATAAAGTAACTGAAATCTTATTGTGTCTAGCACAGTGCGGCACATATGGTAGGCAGGTGCTCGATGAATATTAATTAGTTAAGCAGAATTCACAGCCAATGATAATCCTTACCAAAATATATCAAACAAGCAACCTGCTTTCCTAGCGAAAGCTGTGATTTCTTGGCAAGTAGAGCCGAGTCCCTATTTGGCAGTCCCTGCACTGTTTTTTCAAGTCTCTTTGGAAGTGCCTTAAAAATTCACGGGTAAACAATATTCTAGATTTCACATAACCTGTTCTATGCTGTGATAATTTAAGTTGAAAAGGAACTATCAGATGGACTTTAAAAATAAATGTTAAAATCCTGATACTTCTGGAAATCAAGAAACAGCAACAGAAGAAAAGCAAACACTGACCATAATTTTGGAGTAGTTCCTCTTTAGTGGAAATAATCAGAGACCGGTCCTTTGCAGACAGAACTACAGCCAGGCACACATAATGCTGCTCAGAAGAGTTTGCTCGGCGCACGACCGTGAGAAGTCTGACGGGGTGGTTGTTTGGAGGAGAACTAAAATGTTCGATACAAAACCAGCTAGAGTAGCTTAGGCCAGATGGAGGAGGGAAGAGTCTTTCACCTAGAGTAAAAATAGAAAAATAACAAGGAAAAGAGTTTGTGCTGACATATTTCCGTTAAAAAAAAAAAAAAAAAAAAAAAGAGGCCAATAGAAGCATGTATACTCTAAATAAAACAGAGTCTACTGGGGAAAAGAAATCTCCTAAGCAATAGGAAAGTAATATTTACCGGAACCAATGCCGCTGACCACAGCCCCATCGGCAAGACCTGTTGTGACGGCATTATTTGTGGGGGCGTTATGAGGGGCCAGGCTGGGCAGAAACAGGCAGCTAGCAGGAAAAGACAACACATACATTAGAGAGCAAATATTTCTTCTCTTAGCAGCATGCACCTACCACAGTGAAATAAACTGCCAGAATTTAGTGGTAGCTAGAATAGAAAGATCATGGAATAAATCTGGATGCCTAGCAAAGCTCTTTCTCTTAACTATGTAAAAGCACTGGAAGATATACTTTTAAAATATCCAAGAATACCATTTTAAGTCCAATTTTTTTTTAAAATTAAGGTATAATTTGCGGTAATTTGTGGTAAATTGCACTACTGTATAACCCCGATCGAGACATCAGAATGATTTCATCACTGCGGGAAAATTCTCCTGTGTCCCTTACAGTCACCCTCTCCTGTTGCTGCTGCTCTCACTAGTTGTGACTATTCTCAAACATGTCTTAATCTATTGCTCGATAATAATTTTCCACAATATTCTTAAAATACAATTCATGGATTTAGATCAACATATAAGAATCCCACAAACAACTACATGATTTGTTGGACAAAAATCATCTATTAGCATTAAAACTGTGTCAATATCGAGGCTGCTGGACTTCATATACACTTCTAGATTCTTTATTGCTGCTTCTGCTACAACTTGGAAGAACTTAAAGTGACAGTCACTGAATACTTATAACGTATAAGATACTTTGCTAGATAATTTGAGGAATAGATGATGATACCCAAAAAGGTTTTAATCTAATTTTAATTAATATATATTATCTATATATTTGTATTTATTACATGAGGGGCTGACAAACTTTTTCTGGTAGGGGCCAAATCGTAAATATTTTATGCTTTGCAAACTGGAAGTTCATGACGACTCAACTCTGTCGCTGTAGCACAGAAGCAGCCACAGAAAATACATACATAAATGAGCGTGTCTGTGTTCCAATAGAATTTTCTTTAAAAAAAACAAATAAAAAACATTTACAAAAACTTTACTAACAAAAGGCCACGGGCCTTGGAATGCAAACTCCTCTATAATATCAAATTATTTAGTATACTAAATAATTCAGAATAATTAAATGTAGAAATCTTAAAATAACATGCTGAAATAACTCATTTAAAAATATATAGTATGGGCTGGGCGTGGTGGCTCATGCCTGTAATCCTAGCACTCTGGGAGGTCAAGGCGGATGGATTGCTCAAGGTCAGGAGTTTGAAACCAGCGAGCGAGACCTGTCTTCTACTAAAATAAAAGAATAGTTGACTGACAAACATATATACAAAAAATTAGCCGGGCATGGTGGCGCATGCCTATAGTCCCAGCTACTCAGGAGGCTGAGGCAGGAGGATCGCTTGAGCCCAGGAGATTGAGGTTGCTATGAGCGAGGCTGATGCCATGGCACTCACTCTAGCCTGGGCAACAAAGCGAGAGTCTGTCTCAAAAAAAAAAAATGTGGTGTGTTGTGTATATATATATATTATATATATATAGTATGGTATGATATATTTTAATCAAGTAGACCTATTTGGAAAGGCAAGTATGAGGCATAACATAATACAGTAAAGGCTTGGCTACCTTGCAAATTCTTACCCAAACCCTTCTAGGGATGTGTCAAATTCAACAAAAGCGGGAGTAACTGATGACCCGTGAAGTCTGATGTCATGTGGGGTTGTCATGGAGACCAGACACTTCACCCTGGTCAGAGGTACAGTGCTTCCTTCTGCAGATTTTACCAGGCTCTTGCTTATCCGGTAATGATTATCTTCATGTAGGCTAAAAACATTGTCACTACCCAGACCTTCAAGAGACGTGATCATACTGCCTGAAAGTCAAAGAAAATCTCTTGTGAAAAATATCATGTAGAATTTAAAAGTAACTTTACAAGGCTGATTTATTTTGACACACCACTCTTTGCTTTCAATATACGGTAATTTTCTTTTTAACTATCAAGATCATTATATAGTTCTAATGTACTTAGTTTATTTTAAAGCTTAAATGGCATATGTTTCCTTTTTTGCTTCATGCTAAAATAATACACACATTGCAGAAATGTTGGAAAATACAGAATACAAATAAGAATAAAACTCACTAATAATCATGAGCTAAGTCACTGTTAACAATGTAATTTAATTATAAATCTCAGTTAATGGTTTAAAAACCAGGCTATACTTTTATTTCACAAAGCTATTTTTGTATTATTTCGTATTATTTCTCTGAGAGGAAAGAAAAATATTCTAGAAGCATTAAAATGAAACAGGTCATTTTTACTTCCTTCATTTTCCCCCCCATTTTTAATTCTTTCCTTGTAACTATTAGAATATGTGATTACAAATGTACTTGAATTTAAAGATTCCTATATGAATATAAATGACAATAATTTCAAGAGTAAAAAGACAAATTCTAAACTAATTATCCTATCTTCCCAGGAATATACTGCAAATGTAATAGAGAAAATACTTCCTCTCAAGATAAATTACCTGAGTGTATATAATTATTTTCCTCTCAAATGTGCTGGACATTCAGGGAACCATAAAAAAATATCTCAATATTCTCTTAGGGAAAGGAGCTATCTTTGTTTTCACTCTTGGCAAAGGAAATCCCAACTCAATTCTAAATAACTGTGTAAAGTACAAACAATAACAAAAATAATAGACCCAGGAGATGCATATTAATGCATATGAAGAGGTCCAATACTTGCTGTTTTCCAATAAGACTGTGTTGGAACTCAAAAGTTCTTAAAGTTTCCCTAACACAGTATTGATTAATCACTGATAATCCGTAGGAGGAAAAATTAAGACTGAAATAATGGTTGACGGTTGTTTAATCTGACTCTCAGAATTCTCACCTGTAAAGTGAATGGGTTGATCTAAATCAGGGGTCCTCAAACTTTTTAAACAAGGGGCCAGCCAGTTCACTGTCCCTCAGACCGCTGGAGGGCTGAACAATAGTTTTAAAAAAAACTATGAACAAATTCCTATGCACACTGCACGTATCTTATTTTGAAGTAAAAAAACAAACGGGCAAAAACACCCGCACGTGGCCCGAGGGCCGTAGTTTGAGGACGCCTGATCTAAATGATCACTTACCTCCCTGCCACAGTGGCCATTCTACTTTATTCTTGCCCGTTTCACTAGCAATGGTCATCTTAATCCATGAAAACAAATACCTTATCACTATGGCTAACAGTGACACAAAATGAACAACAAAGTAAAAATGCAGCAAAGCACAGACTTAACACTGGGAGGAAACCCAGAGCAACTGAGCTCTCCCCCGAGAACACTGTTTGCCCCCAGCTCTTGGGTGGACGGAGTCTGCTGCTTCTCTCGTGTCCATGATGGACGGTAGGCATGGAATTAGCATCCTGCTAATTCCCGTATCATTCTTCTATCAGCCTAATGCAGAGACTGCTCCTTGGAGGCTCCTCATCAGCAACTATTTCATCTCTCTAGGAAGCTACCACCTAACTGTTCTCCTAGCAGGACCCTCTGCGGTTTTCAACAACACTGGGCATTTTACTCTCAGTCTTCTCTGTACTAATTCTTGCCATTGTACTGGGGGGATATCAACGTCCACCCGACACCTCCCCCTTCTAGTTCTAAGATCACCTTTCCTCCAAGTGTCACCTCTGCTTCACTCCAGAGCCACAGTTTGGACACGGTCATTTTCTCTGCTTGCTCCACTCCTTCCATTTTGATTGCACTGCCCTGTCCTCTTTCCTCTAGTTCCCTCATTCCTTTTCTCCCATTGCATCTGCACTCCGGCCTGGCTGTTAACTCTCCAGTCCACTGATCTGCCCTTTTTCTCTCCGCCTATCACAACTGGCCACCTGGCCTCACTTCATTCCCTACCTGGCCTGTATCCTCTAAAAAAAATACTGACTTTTATCAGTATTTTTAATTTCCTATTCTCCAAGTCCTCCTGCAGCAGCTGTCTTGCAGATCCACGGCCTGTTAATAATCATCTAATCAGCCGCTGTGTAGTCCAGGCAGCAAGCGAAGTATGAATCCCAAGAAACAGGTATCCCCGGTTCCACGCCAAGAGTTATTCTGCCCGTAATCCTCATCTCTTCTGTATCCTTACATCACCAACGATGGATTCCCTTTCCACCCCACTGCCCCCTCCTTGGTTAGCCAACCCCGTCCTGTGTTTCTCCATTCAAATATCAACAGACCCTTGTCTTTTTCTTCGCAACCTTTTTGAAATAATACTCATCCGCCACGTGACTTTCATGTACAAAAGCACACCAGAAAAGGGAACCTCAAAGGCCAACTCACTTCTCATCTCAGGCTCGTAACTCAGCGAACTTGGCTTGTGGACCCTGTATTGTTTCAGCAGCTTTTTGTCCCAGGCACCGCAGTTTAAAGGACTTGCCAAACGCAAAAACTCCCTGATTGGAGACACAAAGCAAAATTATTCTTTGATGAACATTATATAAGTCATCAACCGAACACTCAAAAAAGAGAGTTAATGAGTGATGACAGACTGGTTAAAATACAAAAGAAATGCAAAGTTATAAAACAATACACAATGTTCATTTCATATTTAATCTCCATATGGCTATATATCTACTACATATTTTTCAGTATTTATTATTTCAAAAATGAATAAGAAGCACTCCAACTCGAATACGGCTAAAACAAACTCATCACTTTATACTCAAACCTGGGGCTTTTCTTATCATTTGCATCTCACTGAAATGTGCTTCGATTCCTCTCCTTTCTTTGACTTTCCACATTCAGAAAATCCTGCTGATTCTACTGGCTAAAAATATTGTATCTTGCCATCTTCCCTCCATTCTTGCTGCTACCACCCAGACTACACTAGGTTACTATTCCTAAAACAGAGTCTTAATGACCTCCTGTGACTCCAATCTTGCCCCAACTCAGTCCATTCTCCACTATAGTCAGTATCTATCAAAATTAAAATCTACTCAATGTCACTCTATCGCTTAAGACTCTGCAATGGCTTTCCATTTCTTGCAGGTGAGCAGATGGAAACCCAAACTCCCGGCTGGCGTATAATGGGATACATGAGAAGATTCTCACTTCATTCTCCAGCTTCGTGGCTCCCATTTTCTCCCCAATCATAAATCCAAGGTTTCTGACTCCCTGAGAATACTGTACTCCTTCCCTACTCTGGACCATCATATTCGTCTTTCTTGTTGCTGAGAACATTCTTTCCCCCTACTTTTTAATCCAATTAACTCTCTTCCAAACTTTATCTCTTGTCATTTCTCTCACGGAGCCCGCTATGAGCCATGCTCCCCAAAAAGTCTGGGTAAGCTGCCCCTATATGAACTACATGACACAGCTATTACAGAACTTAAGCAATATTTTAATTTTCTGCTTATCTGATTATTTCTTACTATACATTTTTTGAGAGCATGAATCTTCCACACCCTTTCATTTATGACATCATGTAAAAAAAATTTCTCTGAATTTTCAATTCCCTCTGGCAGAAAAAAAATGAGGTTGAAAAGTTAAGAAGTATACCCTTTGCCACTTTTTCATGTAGAATGTTACATACAATTAGCTTATAATCTGAGGCTTGTAATAGCCAGGTACCGGTACCATCCATCACTTGACTTTTTTTTTTCCTAAGAATTCATTGTAAAAATGGAGCATAACCAAGCGGTTATGGTTATGGTTAGTATTAGGTATAAGAAAGTCTCTCTTTCTCTCTACTATCAAAACAGATTTTCAAAAAGGACCAGGGGAAAAATCACAATGCTACTTTCAAAGCTTTAAGAAGATGAGTAAATCCCTAAGCTGATGGATGAAGGGAGTAGGACTGTCTTGTTCATCTTGATATGATTAAGGCCTAGTACACTGCCTGATACACTGTTTAACAAATGTTTACTCCCTAAGCTTTTCTTAATCCATCATTGGTTTGGAGTCCATTTAATTTACAACCATTTTTAAGAAAGTTCCTGAAAGTTTTATAAAACTTTAACAGTAGAAAAAAATATAATCCTAATAAAGAGATCTGCTTATATTCCCAAAGTGACAAGATGTGTAAGTGTAATTTTCTAAGGAGAAACAAGATGATTTATACATTAAATCTGTTTGGCTAGGTATAGTATCAAGGAAAATACAGAAAAATTGTTTTAAAATAGCAACAGGCAGATTTCATTCCTAAAACATACAGTGCTGTTTCTCTTGCATTAAAAAAGGTTATTTTATAAAAATACATTTTATTTTATATATATATGCATTTTTCTTTTATTTCACCATATTATGGGGGTACAAATTTTAAGGTTTCAAATAATGCCCTTCCCCCCTCCCCCCCCAAGTCTGAGCTTCAAGCGTGACCATCCCCCAAACGGTGCATGTCTCACTCATTATGTATGTATATACTTGTCCCCCCTCCCCCCTCCCACCCATCCAATTGCATTTCTTGAATGAGTCACAAACTATGGCATATACATACTATGGAATTATTCAGTAATGAAAAAATGGGCCGGGCGCGGTAGCTCATGCCTGTAATCCTAGCACTCTGGGAGGCCGAGGTGGGCGGATTGCTCGAGGTCAGGAATTGGAAACCAGCCTGAGAAAGAGCAAGACCCAGTCTCTACTATAAATAGAAATTAATTGGCCAACTAATATATATAGAAAAAATTAGCCGGGCATGGTGGCGCATGCCTGTAGTCCCAGCTACTCAGGAGGCTGAGGCAGAAGGATTGCTTGAGCCCAGGACTTTGAGGTTGCTGTGAGCTAGGCTGACGCCACGGCACTCACTCTAGCCTGGGCAACAAGCGAGACTCTGTCTCAAAAAAAAAAAGAAAAAATGATTGACACATTTAACAACTTATATGCATCTCAGGAACATTATAGTAAGTGGGAAAAAAAAGACAATCAATCTCAAAAGATCACCTACTGTATGATGTCATTTATATGACATTCTCCAAATGACAAAATTATGGAGATGGAGAACAGCTTCAGTGGTTCCCCAAAGGTAAGGGAAGGTGGGGGTTATGGAGACAGGCATGGCAATAAAGGGGTAGCACCAGGGGAATCTTTGTGACCATGTGGTGGTCACATGAACCTACACACACAGGTGATGCAATAACTGAGAATTACATGTGGACGTGAATACATCATAACCAGTATCGATTTCTGGTTCTGATACTGTACTATAGTTATAAAAGCTATAAAAACAATGGAGGAAACTGGGTGAGGGGGACAAGGAACCTCTCTGATCTATCTTTACAACTTATTATTTCAAAGCAAAAAAGTTAAAGTATTTCTAAAAAAGTTCTTACATTATGGAAAGTTCTTAAATATGAATATAAAGTAGATATAAGCCATTTACATATTAAACGTGACTTTATTTATTTATTTTTCAAGTCAGGGTCTCGGCTCTGTCACCCAGGCTGGACTGCAGTGGCATGATCACAGCTCACTGCAGCCTCGGACTCCTAGGCTTAAGGGATCCTCCTGCCTCAACCTCCCTAGTAGCTGGGACTATAGGTGCACACCACCACACCCAGCTGATTTTTCTTTGTAGTTTTTTGTAGGGACACAGTCTTGCTACGTTGCCCAGGCTGGTCTTGAACTCCTGGCTCAAGTGATCTTCCCCCGCCTCAGTCTCCCCCAAAGTGCTGGGATTACAGGTGCGAGCCACTGCGCCCGGCCTATTTTTAGAGGAAAGTGAGAGTCTGCTGAATTCAAGGGGAAGAAATAACTAATGGGGCAGAAACACTAAACGACTGCCAGTGACTAGACTGATTTTCTAAATGCTATCTTTTGAGTATTTTTACCCATTTTTTTTTTGTTGTTATGTCTTGCCCGCAGGTAACTGAATATGTATGCCCAATTAATGCAAGAACTCTGGAATCATAAAAGACTCTAGAAATTGGCATTGCTGCTAATCATCGTGGCCTGTCGAGCGTGAAAAAGAAGAGAGAACTCACTGACCTCAGCACCATGGGCTCCAGGGCCTGGGAGGCCAAGCGTTCGAACATGCGCTGGAGAGGGGGGTGCAGGGAGTGGTCCTCGTCCGCCAGCGCCGCGCTGCACCTCTGCAGCAGCCGGGCGTGAAGGCCAGCTTCACACATGACCTGCTGGTTTCTCTCCGTGTGCACCAGGGACTGTAAAATATTCGCCACGGCCAGCTGGAGGTCCAGAGCGTGCTAAAGTTAAAGAGATCCAGGAAACCAGGGCGATCTTAGTGGGAGACAGGTGACGCCGTCACTTCCCACGCGAAGCACGCATTCTAATTAACGTGAGGTCCCTACAGGCTTCGAAACACGTTCGGGTAAACCGAGGAACTGGCTTAGAGCGCCAGAGCAATTACAGAACAGGCCAGGCGAAAACTCCCCGTTTTAATTTTGTTAGAAGCATACCCAGCTGGACTCTATTTGCTTCCAAGTCTTTTGTGTTACACGACTATATAACTAGAGGTAGTTCTACTTTTATAAAAGCAGTGTGTATGAACTCTTTACATGGTAGGTGGACAACTAACCTAAGGAAGGCCTACTGTTTATACCTGCGATACTTTTTTAGGCCTTTAAATGAACTCCGCACGACATTTTAACAGAATAGCCACCCTCAGGCCCCAATTTACCCAAACTCTTGAGTACTACGGGTCAAGACAAATAAATAGCCTCAACAGAGTATCTCTGGTCCTTTTTCCTTCTGTACTGTTCATTAACAACGTCCACTGCCGAGCAGGATTTACAAGGGCAAACGGAATGATTCTAGTACCAGGGGTAACCATCGTCACCGCATTTTGTAACAAATGCACCGCATTCTAAAACATGCATCATGAAAGGTAAGGCTCAAATAGAAAAATCCTGTTGTTGTTTTTTTCCCCCCTTTTATCTACTTTAGTACGTTGATAGGTGAAACAGTTCCATGCTACGTTCTCTCTTCCCCAGAGCCCCCGGCTCGTGCGATCGACATCCACACATCCACATCCCACATTTCATTCATCACACACGGGGAGGCACTGACGTGACCAAGCTTACTTCGGGCTGTGTCACTGACCCTACAGAGGCCAGGAGGTCCAGCATCGCGATCATGGCCCCAGGGTGGATGATGACTGCATCGGAACTCGGGAGAGCTGAGGTCGTCACGTGGAGTTTCAGGTCAGCAACATTTTTAGCAGGGTAAATAGGGGGAGTGGAAACAGAATGATATGCATGCCTATATAAAAAGAAAGAAGGGTACATTTGGTATTTATAATTCCAATCAGATTATCTTCTGTTCATTTTCTTCATCGTGTGTTACTTTTGTATCCACTGATAAGCAAAAAAAAAAAAAAAAAAGCCTTGTCATTCAGGGATAGGTTGCACAATATTTTAAAGGTTGGGATATATATATATATAAAAAGCAGCATATTATCAACGCTTGAGTCATATAGAGACAATTTATCAATTATTCTTGCCCTTTTTATGTCTTTACACCATTTATTATTTGGATTGTTTCATTAAAAAAAAAAATGACACTTGTGCCAGAAGATGAGAAAAATAGGTAAAATCGTAGTGATTCCAAGTTCTAGGAAGATGAAATAATATGTGATGAAAGATCAAGGTAAATTAAGTCCCTCGATGAGATTGTTTTCTTTTGAAATTATCTATGTGATTTTAATCTTTCCTCAGCCTATGACCAAAGTAGCCTAACAAGAATTAACAAGATCGCCGGGCGTGGTGGCTCATGCCTGTAATCCTAGCATACTGGGAGGCCCAGGCGGGAGGATTGCTCGAGGTCAGGAGTTCGAAACCAGCCTGAGCAAGAGCGAGACCCCCGTCTCTACTATAAATACAAAGAAATTAATTGGCCAACTTATATAGAAAAAATTAGCCGGGCATGGTGGCGCATGCCTGTAGTCCCAGCTACTCGGGAGGCTGAGGCAGGAGGATCGCTTGAGCCCAGGAGTTTGAGGTTGCTGTGAGCGAGGCTGACGCCACGGCACTCACTCTAGCCTGGGCAACAAAGCGAGACTCTGTCTCAAGAAAAGAAAAGAAAAAAAAAAAACAAGATCAAAGTGGCCTCCTCTATATAACTGGGCCAACCGAGTCAGGGTTGGCTCAGTCTTGGCTACCCACGAATAAATACATCAAGCATCATGAAAAGTTTTCCTTTAGTTTACGTGGAACTACATCCACTGTTTGCATGCGTTCCCGCAAACACTGCAAATATTCATCACGATTTTTAAAATCTTAGAAGACATATTTTATATTAGTTTCTGTGAGTTAGAAAGCCCAGCCATGTCCTGAACGTAAACATTTCTTCTCATCAATGATCTCCACTTTCTCTTTCATACTACTCATCTACAATTCATGAATTTTGCACAATTTGCACATCTTGGCAGGAAGAAATAGATGCTTGTCGTTTCAGCCTATAGGAGAGCTCTTTGTTCCAATGAGTTGGTCTCAGCATAATTTGCCTAATGCTGAGCTCTGTCACCGAGAACAGTGCAGTCTCAGCTCTCTGGTACAGGAGCAGCTTGGGAAACAGATGCTTTCTGTCAGTGATTTAGTAGCGAAGAATTGGCACTGCCATGTTTTGTTTTTTTTTTGAAAAAGTAACATTCTCTTTTTAACAGAGATTCTAGGAAAGTATTCAGCTTTACTTACAAAAAGAAAAAAAAAAAAAAAAACCACACGGGTTCTCCTAGTTTATTTAAGTAAGCATCTTCTCCGCCCATTCGTGTTTTCACTCCCTGTATTTGCTGTTTTTCGTTCGGTAAGATTTAATTTCTAAACTTACTAGAGAAAGATTTCTAGATGCTCATTACCAACAGGTATCCTCTTCCTATGCTGTTCGCTTTATTCTTTAAAATATTTTGACCCATCTAGAAAAAAGATTCATGATTCTGCTAAATTATAACACGAATTCTCACCATTGAATTAAAAAATTTCGTAAAAAATGTTTTCCTTAAACACACACACACACACACACACAGATTCTAATTGTATATTTTAGTTATAGAACTTCGAGAATTATTTCTAAATTGACAGATTTAATCTAAGATTGGATTGAAATTATGGATAGACCTTGAAAGAAATCTTTATGTCTTTGGACACTGAACTCCTTTTATTAACACAGGTTGAGCATCCTAACCCAAGCATCCCAAATCCCCCAAAACCTAAAACTTTTTGAGCACTGACATGACATCACAAGTGGAAAATTCTACCCCTTGTGATGGGTTGCATTCAAAATGCAGTCAAAACTGTGTTTCATGCCCTAAATTATTAATATTAAAAATACTGTATATAAAACTATCTTCAGGCCATGTGCGTAAGGTACATATGAAACATAAATAAATTCTATGTTTGGACTTGGGTCCCATCCCCAAGGTATTTTAATATTTCATTACGTATATGTAAATACTGAAAAAAATCCGAAATCCAAAATACTCCTGGTATCAAACATTTCAGATAAGGGATACTCAACCTGTATATAACTACTGTAGTAGCAAATATTTTTTACCTTATATCAGAAAACAATATTCCAATAAAGAAATTACATTCACCGTTTTTAAAACAAAAAAATACTACAAAGACTGCTGAAACCTAAAACATGATATTAATTAAAATTAGGTGTATTATAACAGATGTTATATATTAATGCTTATTAAGTCATCTAGGTATCACCACAAGTATTACCACTTTTTAAATTTAGTGACTGTGGTAAGCAAATGGTTAATTCACAAGCAATACCTAACCATTTTTAAAGACAGGATAAGACATCTCAAAATTTAATTTTTATGTTGCAGTCACTCTCAAAAATTATAGAAACTGTTATTTTAAATATTTCACACGAATTTCTCATTTATATTTAAGACTGATCTACCTCTTTTAGGAAAATATAGTTGAATATTTAAATTCTGAATATATGCTTTGCTTTAATCATCAAGTGTGCAGGGGTGCTGAGTAACAGATACCATGTTTGAATGGTAACTAGTACTCGCCACCTCTTGTCCCACTGCAGTTATATTCTGTTGAGTTTTGATTACTATTTTGCATTCACTTCCTCCAACTCTGATTGAACACTGTTCAGCTATAATTCTGTTCTATTATTCCTCTGAATAATGAATAATGAAAAAGATTGTAAGTTTTAGTTTTCTAAATATGAGGTTAACTAGCTCTTTCCCACCCCCAATTCTTAAAATAATTAGAGAAGGACCTCCAGCATTTTAAATTTCAGGCAAGTATCACAAGCTCAAAATTTTCTTAGCATCTGAATGCTCCACAAGTCATAAAAACACAGTGTGCGGTGTTGGTTTCTCCCTTTGCCAACGAAACCAACATGTTTTGCCACAAGAAAAAGATGCCTATGAGCTGATGTAATTTGTTGAGAGGTTCTAGAATTAGTGTGAATTCAACACTAATTTCAAAAGTTACTAGAATTGGATTTGTGAAGTAAAAACATTAGACTCTTTACTAGCTTAGAGGCTTCTTACCACTCGGCAAAATGTGCGCAGCCCAACTAGTATGGCAACCTGAAAATGTCAACACTGATTTTTAGTATTAGCATGAACAGTATCGAGGGTTTTCTGTCCTTGGGGTTACATCAATTTGGAAGACTGATGGAGAACTCAAATGTATTAGGATTCACTTAACTAGGTGTGTTTGTTTATTCAGCGATGATGGTTTTGCCTTAAGTCAAAGACTTGGTATATCTCTACCTGTAGATGTGATACAAACAATGACAAAGTTTTGTTTTTTTTTTTTAATTTAAAGCCATTAAGTAACTCTTTAAGGAAGAAAATGCTTTGTTCCCTTTGTCAAATTACCATCTAAATAAATAGTAAATTCTGATGGAAATTTTTTTTTTTTTTTTACTGTATCCCTTTAATCTGTTCATTTCTATTTTGTAGTTTTTGGCTACCACTTAAAAAGTACTAAATGTTTTTAAACGGTAATTTTTAGGACTTTACCATTTGAGACATAATAATCATTATACTTTAACATTGTGATATTAAGTAATTTAAAACTAGTAATTTAAATTATTTCTCTAACATGTAGTAGTTCTTTGGGATCACATACACAAATCTTCAAACACAAATACTTTACCTTATCCATTTTAGCAAAAGAAAAATATACTATATCAAATCAAATCTATCTAGTTCATGGTTTCACAAATTAAGACACCTCTTTAAAAAGAAAAAAAGAGTAGTTTTTAAGCACAAATATATTAAACAACCCTAAATTTATTTAAGATTGGTTTGAACTATGCCATCGTTTACTGTAAGAAATAAACTGTTAAGCTCCTGTGTAAATTTAAGAGAAAAAGGAAAATTTGTCTTTGTATATACATAATGAATATGTATATATTTTTAAGAGACAAGTTCTCACTCTGTCACCCAGGCTGAATTGCAGCAGTGCAATCATAGTTCACTGCAACCTCAAACTCCTGGCCTCAAGTGATCCTCCCAAAGTGCTGGGATTACAGATGTGAGGCGCCTGGTCTGGCCCTAATAAAGGTTACTACTACAATATGCTGAAATACAGAACCTGTAAACAAACACTTTTCATGCACTAACTCCAACTATATTCAAGTTTCAAAATCTGAACAATAGTAATACAATTAAAACGAAAATAAAGCAGAATTCATTTTTTAAAATCATTCAGCATTCATTTTTTTAAAAATCCACAATGGAAGAATATTTATATATAAGTTAAAGACTTATTTTTGGTTATGAGGAAAACAGGAGAAGGAACAAAAGTATGTGGTGCCAACTACAGACTATGACCATTTTATGTAGGTTGCAAATGGAATCTTAAATGGATCTTAATTGTATTTTTTTGGTCAATCTACGGGAATGTTAAAAAATTCGTAAGTTAAATATAAGAGATCAACTAGATCAGAGATTTACACAGAACCAATGAAACAATGAACTGAAGTAGATTATAATTCACTTTTTCAAAGTTTAGCATTCTTAAGTCTTCACAATAGCATATTTCAACTGGTTGAACCTGCTTGAGAAAATACACATTTCCTTCCAGTGCTATGAAGTTCATTCTGGAGTAAAAGTCAAAACCAAAGAATGATCCTGACATTTAAAGTTAAAAAAAAAAAAAAAAAAAAAAGGTAGAAAAGTACTCTAAAGAGACAGTAGGCTCTCAGATTTCTAAGTTATTTTAATAAAAGACATGCTTTTCTCTACAACCAAAGCGTGTAGTTTAGTCTAAATAATGGAGTTGGATGATGAAATTCTTCATAGCTTCACAGTACCAACACATTTTACTTTCATAAATATATTCAAGAGAAATTGATAATTTAAAAACCTTTAAAAAGAAAAAAGTCAAATAGAAAACAAAACAAAAAAAATTAAAGTTTCAAAAGACACAATGACCATATTAACGTATAAGTAAGCACAGGAAAAAAAAAAAAACCCACACAAACAGATTGACTTCTCTTATAAGATCAGTACCTTTTCCTGGACAAAGCTGGTGTTCCCCAAGGAGAGGGGAGAGAAGACTCACTTGTCAGGCAAGGAGGGATCTGTTCTGCACGACTACAGACGACAAAACAGACAGGGTGGTTTAGAGAGGTTAGAAGAAGAGAACACCAGGTTGGCCATAGGTTAGTTTCACAAGAAAATGCCAGTAAAAGTCTTATATGGAACATCATCCATATTCAGTAGGCACAAGGAGCAAGACTACGACACATGCACTGAATGAAACAGAAAAGCATGCTTAAGGCAGAGGCTTATTCCATCAATGTTAACATTTAACACGGTTGTTAAAACAGAGTTCTGTAAGCCCTGTTTTTGGACAAAGTGACTAAAAATGAGGTATACTCGCTAGGATAAGTAGAAATCAAGGGAAAAGAGGTTAAATTTGAATACGCAAGTTTATATAGCTTCTTCCTAGGATATTACACTATCTCATGTTTTCTATAAGTTAACAATATATATGCATCGTTATTTCAGATAGGGAAAATCAGAAGTTTTTTTTTTTTATAATTTCTTACAATTTTTTTTTTTTATTTTCACATCTAAATATTGAGGACTCAGAAGTCTTGTTAAGAAGAAATGTCTCAGTTGACATTTCAAAGTAGATATTCCACAGTAACGCATACAAAACTTATTAGAAGCTCTATGCAATGGAGTTACTTTAGCTGTTTATGGGGGCAATTTAAAGATAACTCATTTATTTTATAAAGCTATGGTTAATTGTTAAAAGCAATAATACATGGACATAAATTAGCAGCACAACCCTTAACATTATTTTTCAAAGTGACAACTTAATTAAAAACACAGTTGAAGCACTGAAAATGGTAAGTGATTCGGGTAAAGTGGCTCTCCTTAGAACCCTGTGTTTTTCCCATCATAGAATTTGTCACAATAGATGTAATTGGCTACATAATGTGTCTGTATTTCAACTAAAAGAAAGCCAGGACCAAGACAGCCCCGTACAGAGCAGGATCCCCAGTGCCTCGCACGATGAGCTGGCATGCAATGGGATTTTGTCAAGTCCTTGTATGACGAAGGAATAAGTAAAATGAGTCTGATGGACTCCTGGGCTTGATGGGTCAAGACACTGATATGTCCCCTAAGGAGCTGTATCACTTTTTGAGGATTATGAGATGTTGGCAACGACAGAGCATCTGTCTGGAAATATGAATAATCATAGCCATGTTCTGTTGCTAACAGATATCGGTAAGCCCGGATGCACCTAATGTTTCTGAGGCTGAAAAAGGAAAAAGAGAACAATAGCAAACACCACCATTAAATGGAAACTTCATAAAAAAAAAAAAAAACTATTCCAACGACTGCAATGAGAGCTAACTGAACCCGAATTTACAAATAATAGGCAGGCTTCCATGCTAAAAAAAAAAAAAAAAGAAAAAAAAAGAACTTAACACCAGCGCAACAGTGATATTAAAAAATAAAGCGATACACCTCAAGCAAATGGGAGAGAAGACTCGTTTGTTCTCATTTTGCGTGGGGGTTAACTTATGACTCACGTCTTAATGCTGAAGTCATGCTTAGCGGACCCTGCCGCTGGGAGGGCAGAACAGAGCCGTACCTGTCAAAAGAGTCTGTGGCTACTTTGTAAAGATAGATAAAGAGCTTGCTGCAGTGCCGCAGGGTTGGTGACACCGAGTCCGCCGAGACCGCGTCCTCCTCTAGCAGTCTCTGAAACGGCTGTGTGTTTGAGGGGAAGACATTCATGGCGCTTATTTTCCTTAGGTCTGAGAAGCAGCCAAGAAACCGCACAGCGTCTGCCAGCTTCTCATACTGGATCTCTGTCTTGAAGAAGTGCGAGTTGGCCGGCTCGTAGCGCATCGCCGCGGTCAGCGTGCAGAACACGGTGTGGAGAAGCTCGAACACCTGGCTCTGGCTCACTTTCTCCCAGCCGTTCTTGGGCGGGAAGCTCAGGGATCTCTCCATGGCAACCAGCAAGGACGTAATGTACACAAACCCTCCAACCTTCCTAAAAACTGTCCTCGAACGGTGGCTTTCTCGGAGGACTGACAGGAGGGCCTAACAAGGGGAAAAAAAGGCAAAAAACAAACATAAGTCAAATTTAAAAAAAAAAAAAAAAAGAAAATCATCATGCACATATATATCAAAGAGTCTGTATTCTGTGAACATCTGATATGAATGTTTTCGTTATTTACCCAACAAGCAGTTCTATAATATTAAGCATATCAAATATTTTGCTAATTAAAAATGTCATATTAAAGACAGAAGATAATTTTAGGAAACGCCATCACACGTTTCTTTTGACAGGGCAGGGCTACATCCAAATCTTGGCTGAAAAGCTTTTCCAATGTCTTTAATTAATGACGACATCAATGAGTTCAGTTATCAAATAAGTAAAATACATATCCTAGCCTAATGTGACTAATACACATTCATGAAAAGTTGTGACTCTGTGTATGTACAAACTGATTTATTCTAGGAGGGATCAGAGAGATGATGCTCAGGGCAGCCACAATTTGGGGTCTTTTGATTCAGATAAAGTGACCATATTCTCATGCTTTCGAAAGGAACTTTAGAGGGATCACTATGTTCTTTCTCTCTTGCAAAGTGAACTGGAGCCTGAGGGCTGAAAGTATGCCCTTTCAAAGAACAGCTGTATGTTCTCAGAAATTAAATCTAAATACATAAAAAAACAAAAAACTTTTTATAACTTTCAGTTATTTTTGGACTATCATACTTTTAACTTGGCTTATTATTTTTAAAAACACATTATAAAATCACCTGATTATCTTACTGGGCACATGCTTTGTACCAGGCACTCTAAGTGCTTAGTGACCCTTTCAACAATCCTACGTGTTAGGTACTATTATTCCCACTTTATAGATGAGGAATTGAGGTACAACGTGGTAAAATAACTTGCCAAAGATTGTACAGCTTACACACAGCAAAGGCAGGATTTAACCCCAGGCAGTCTAACCAATGCTACTCACGCATTTAACCTTTACTGACCCAAACAGTAATTTGAAATCTGCTTAGATACAAGGGACTCCTTTTCTATTTCTGCAATTGTACCACAATGAGTATCTACTACTATTACTTAAGACATAATTTATAATCTTCCCAATCGTTACATTTGAATCGATTTATTTTTTATTTATTTATTTATTTATTTATTTTTTATTATTTTTTTTTTTGCCCAGGCTAGAGTGAGTGCCATGGCGTCAGCCTAGCTCACAGCAACCTCAAACTCCTGGCTCAAGCAATCCTCCTGCCTCAGCCTCCCAAGTAGCTGGGACTACAGGCATGCGCCACCATGCCCGGCTGATTTTTTCTATATATATTAGTTGGCCAATTAATTTCTTTCTATTTATAGAAGAGACGGGGTCTCGCTCTTGCTCAGGCTGGTTTCGAACTCCTGACCTCGAGCAGTCCGCCCGCCTCGGCCTCCCAGAGAGCTAGGATTACAGGCGTGAGCCACCGCTCCCGGCCTTGAATCAATTTATTAAAGGATCTCACCCATGTATAATGGTATCTGAAGAATGAAAAGGCTACGTATGGGTTGAGTGTCCCTTATTCAAAATGCCTGGGACCAGAAATGATCAACATTTCAGATTTTTGAATATTTGCATATATATATAATGAGGTATCCTGGGGATGGGACCCAAGTCTAAACACGAAATTCATTCATGTTTCATATACATCTTCTATATAAAGGCTAAAGGTGATTTTATACAATCGTTTTGACAATTTGGTGTATGAAAAAAGTTTGCAGCATTTCACAAATTTCAGATTTTTAGATTAGAAATGCTCAACCTGTATTAATATATATAATCACCTTCTTGACATGTACTGCTCCAGAAATTATGAGGATTTCATTATATATAACTATGTCTTATCATTTTAAAAGACAGGAAATACACATTCAGTATGTAAATAAAATGTAAAAACAGTGTAGTTCCTTCATTATTCTGCAACCAATAAATTTCCATATTAATAGTATCTGGTAACAATACAGTCTCCGTATCTTGTTAAATTTAATAAAATGTATTTATATATACAATATTAACTCATTAAGAAAAGATTTTAAAATATACTTTTTTAAAATACTGTCTACAAAGTTGTAGGGATTTTTTTTTTTTTATTACTTTGGATTTCTGAAATTTCCTTGTCTCTAACTTAAATATAAATCATTTAAAAAATAACCTAAGTTGGCTGGGCGTGGTGGCTCACGCCTGTAATCCTAGCACTCTGGGAGGCCGAGGCGGGCAGATTGCTCGAGGTCAGGAGTTCGAAACCAGCCTGAGCAAGAGCGAGACCCCTTCTCTACTATAAATAGAAAGAAATTAATTGGCCAACTAATATATATAGAAAAAAAATAACCTAAGGTTTTTGTAACAAAAGAGTAGAAACATACTTATCAAACTTACCCTTAAAATGTCAGTCTTCAGCTGCAGTTCTGTTGGTGGAGCCGAATGCATTAACCCCAGGAGAGTGCCCATGTCATCGTCCCCGTTGGGGGACAGCACCAGCTGCTGGATGGTCATCAGGGCATGCTGCCGGCACTGAGGGTACTTCACTATATTATGGGCACATCTTGCGCCTCCAAATTCTCGAAAAATTCCTTGAAGGAGGGAGAGAAAGTACCACGTGGGCTAACTCACAATGTTCTGAGACAAGTCAGATGAATAGGAAATTCAGTTATTTTTGTAGGTACAGTAACTCAAAAGAGTGTAGTACATAAAACCTACCCAGTGATTTCGCCCTTTGAATTAAAATATGAAGTTGCACTGTGCATGTCTGAAAAGTCGTGCACATTTTTTCCCCTAGATTTCCTGAATGCAAGATTAATGCCCTGATTATGTTCACCATGTCCAAATTCTCCAAATCTAGGACTTTCGGAAATTTCATAGGTAGAGATAACACCAGGATACCCAATAATGAAATAAACTTACGTGAAAGGCTTTCAGACAAACAAAACCCCAAATAAATGAGATTCAAAATGAACAAGGCTTTCAAAATAGTGACAAGAAAAGAATGGACTAAATTGTTTTACCATAGGACAAAGTACAAGGAACCAAAATTTTTGTTACATAGGTAGAGCACGAGAACAGAAGACGACAAATTCTGGAATAGAAAGCACTAGTCATGGCACTGCTCCAAAGCCTTTACATAGAATGATTTATTTAGTACTCATCCCCTACCATGCAGAAGTTGAGTCATGTAGCCCAAGTCACATAGCCATTAAGTGACAGAGCAAGGTATGTCTACACAGCCTCTGCTTACAAGTGACACTGTTTCTTACATCAAATATCATCCACAAGCATAAAAAAAAAAAAAAGAGGATGAAGTGACTTAAAAAAATCACTGATTAGTATTTCCTCTAAGCAATTTTTCTACTCTTTATGCTTTTAGAACATCTTTATTACAATTCATAGCAAACAGCCTTACTATTATTGTCTATATGTTTGGTCCTCCATAACTCTTGGATTTCTCCTGATTTGTGTTTCAATAAACGTTTGTTGGTGATTAACTGGCGGTGTATTTTGCTGTAGCAACCACTGTCCTCTCTATTGAATGGCTTTCCATTTGCTAACTTTTTAACCCTTTGCACTCGGATGTCGAGCGTGGATAATGTTGAGCGGATAATGAGGAAAAAAAGCAAGCAAAGGGTTAAGAATTATATAACCTAGTAGTGAGTCTAAGTTACGTGCTCGAGATTCAGCACGTGGAATTTGTGACATCCTCTGATTACAGGAAGACCTTGTTTACTCATGTCCTGGTTTGCTAGTGAGGGCCAAATAGATGATCATAAATGGCTAATACTTTTTTAAACACTTACTGTGAGCAAAGCACTTTTTTAAGTGCCTGAGATCACACAGCTAGTAACATCTTTCTTAATATGGAAAAGAAAGACAGTAAGAAAAGAACTGTGTGCAAATGTTCGGCACTTTGGGAGATATATTAAGCAGAATGGTCCATTCTCTCCCTGTGCAACCTCTAGGTCATGTCATTAAAAACTTAATTTGCCAAATAAATTCTTGTTAGTGTATCTTCATTATGTTTCCGAGTTCCTCGGGCGACTAGAAATAAGATGATGCATTATACCACTGACAAAATGTTATTATAGTGCCCATTAAACTTCATCGTCCTCATTGTTTCAATTACCCACTAAATTCACTCAACTCCGTCTTGGCATTTGACAAAATTCTATTTAAATAATTACTTATGTAATTATGTGTTAACATCTTCCTCCAGTAGACTGTAATTGTTTTGGAGCATAAATTGTCTTTCCTTTGCATCCCTAACACCTAGGAACAAATGATATATTTATACATATGCTGAATGCTGAGTTTCTCTGCACTGAGGCAAACAGTCATGCGTTTGTGCACGGGGTTCATTTGCTCATTCATTCATTCGCCCATGGCTTCCCGTAACACTTAAAATCCAAGCTCTTCACCGCGTCCTAACCACCTGTGTATGATCTGGGCCCAGCCTGCAAATCTGAACTCACCTTCCCTTCACTTATTCCTTTCAAGCTGTATTGACCTTGTGGCCTGAGAGTTTTTTGATGTTGACTAAAAATTTCAAGTAATCTTTCCTTTAGAGCAAGAGTGATATTTTATAAACATATTTGACTGTTAGTGACAGAAAGAAAAGGAAGCAAAAGAAATTGAGACTAAAGACAAACAAAATATTTAATAAACCTCATTTACCTGGGATGGGTTAAGTTTTATTAGAGAATCATTTTTCAATAATTCCTAAAGGTTGTAGCATTGTAATACTCTAAGGTAGTACCAAAAAAAAAATTTTTTTTTTAATTTTTATTAAAATTTTTTTTTCTTTTTATTTTTCTTTCCTCTTTTTCTTCTTTATACCTCTGCTATGCAAGTTTTTTTAAAAAAATCATCATACAAAGAAAATATTTTGGAAAAAAATTTAAAGTTTGAAATTGAGTAAGAGTACATTTATTAATATATAAGTTAAAGGTTAGAAAAAGAATACTTTAAGCATAAGGTATACCATAAAAAGCAATCTAAAAAGCATTTTGAAATGGTAAAAATGTTATATATTTTGTCGTTAAGATACTTCTAATGGTCAAAAGTATTGCATTTTTAGGGCAATCAATAGTTTTTAAGTGACAGGAGGATTTCGGAAGCAAGAATCTCTAGAGAAGACAGGACCTGAGGCGATCTCCTCCCTGTGGCTTTTCTCATTACCTGCATTTGTGTTGGATCCTTGGAGAAGCACTGTCAGGGTCTCCATAACCAACAAAGCCAAATGTTTTTGGTCTTCAACTGAACTATTATTTCTTGAGTCCCCTAGGAAAAAGGTTCAAAGATCCAAATGACAAGAATGATGAAGCTTATTTTGTCTCGACTCAATTTTAATGATTTCTTTTAAGATTATAACATGCGTCTAACATTTGGCAAAAGTAGGCTCAAAATCAGTGTTAACAGATTTTATTTTGGTATGGCTAGAAACAGTTATCTAACAAGCATTAAAAACAAAAATGTGCGAGTTAAATATATCCTTCTCATAGGGGTTTTTCCTCATCAAGGAGGTCAACAGGAAAACGCTACATTTTGAAGAACCATAAAGAAAAAAATGTTTGTGAAAAATACTACCTATTCAACTTATATTAATTCACATTTTACTAATTGCCAGATAATACAGTACTTTTATCAAATTTATCAGAAAGGTATATTTATCAGAAAGGTATACAGGTATTATTATACCTGTATGTATATAGCATCATTAAATAGATATATTTATTTGCTCTCGTTTAGCGGTAACTAAACATTTAACCACATTTACGTCTAATAATCAATTTAATCAATACTAATCCAATTATGTCTGGAAACTTTTTAAGACTCCCTCTGAGAAGCACAAAGTATTAATAGTAGACACAAGTCAGGTGGGTCATGCATGTTTTCCCCCAGCTTTTGCCTTCCTTTAAACCTTCTTCCACTACGAGGACAGAATTCTAGGCTCTCCTTCCCCAATCCCCTAACAGAGGTTGAACGAAAAAGTTAACCCTGGATATTCACTTGTGTGTCACAATAATACACGTTAGGAAGCCATTCAAGTCAATAGCCAATTAATTGGAAGGCACAACAAGAACAAACAAACTTCCCAAACCCCTTTGCCAAATAAAAATAAAGTTATGGAAAATGCTTTTACCTTGTTCATTTAGTGCCTGAGTGGGATCCTTCAAGAGGGCAGCGTATTTATGTAAAAGGTTTACCATGACCTCCAGAAGGCCCACCTCCCTGAACACGTCTTTAAATATGCCGTCATGTCTTGTAAACTTAAGAAGTGTTTTCATGGCAATAATGCTACAGTAGTGAGAAGAGCTAGATTTTAAGAGGATACTAACACTAATAAGTTCTTTACAGGGGATATAATTTAAGCTAAAAACAACAAACTCCAGCATCTCAAAGTATTTGTTCTGTACTTCTGGGAGTTTAGAAATCTTCTCAGCAAACTGGGACAGTGTGTGCTGTGACTCTAGGATGAAGTAATTGGCATTGTCAGCCATATAAATATTTGTGATGGCATCAAGGATGATCTGGGCAAGGAAGCTGGTTTTTGCTTTTAAAAATGCATTCTGAAGGACTGCAAAGGCCTGGATGTTTCTCACACTGTGACCTAAAATAGAAAACAAAAAAACATGGAATTAGGTGCTATGTGAGAGTTTAATCATGGCAAACTGGTCTGTTTAAATACATCATGAATTGTAAACAATTATCAACTATTCACTAAGAAAACAACCCTTCACACAAAAGGTCTTATTTTTCTTCATCAAAATAGAAATCTGTGTATTAATACATGGCTCTTGTGAGACAAATTAGTGATAAGGATTATAAAGAAATTAACATAGAAGGTTGTATTATATTAAGATGTACAAAAACGAGTAGTTTGCCTGTAAGGATTGACAGCCAGTTAAACAACTATTAGGAGTGAATAGCATTTGCAAGAGTGACCAAAAAATAAATACAGAACCTTATAGAATAAGCTGGATTTTAGAAAAAGGGTAAACATAGAACTACAAAAAATATTAAAAGTTCAGAGAGATTGTTCAGAAATCCTTGCTTGTACACTTCTAAAATATGTGAAGATTTTTAAAAATCTTCAGCTTATATATGATTTCAATTTTGTTTTATAATACAAAATTTATTCCATGTATGGCAAATATCAAAAATTTATCTTTATTTCCAGTGTCTAGCTAAGTTGGTTACCTACAGAAAATAAAAAGTAAAGATGTCCTTAAAAGATAACATCTCAATAGGCTTTTCTTTTCCAATAATTCACATGATTAAATTTACATAGATATTCAAAGGTCTAGAATAGCTAAAATGATTTTTAAAAGGAAGAACAGAATTAGAAAACTTTATAAATGACCAGATTTTAAGACTTACTATAATGCTAGAGTAATAAAGACACATATATTAATTAAACAGAATTGAGAAAGAATCCAGATAAATGGTCATATATGGTCTTTTCAAAAAAGGGTCCTGGCATATTCTGATATCCATATGGAAAAAAAATAAATAAACCCTTACTTCCTACCCCATATAACAATGAACTTAGGCCGGGCGCGGTGGCTTACGCCTGTAATCCTAGCTCTCTGGGAGGCCGAGACGGGCGGATTGCTCAAGGTCAGGAGTTCGAAACCAGCCTGAGCAAGAGCGAGACCTCGTCTCTACTATAAATAGAAAGAAATTAATTGGCCAACTAATAATATAGAAAAATTAGCCGGCATGGTGGCGCATGCCTGTAGTCCCAGCTACTCGGGAGGCTGAGGCAGGAGGATCGCTTGAGCCCAGGAGTTTGAGGTTGCTGTGAGCTAAGCTGACGCCATGGCACTCACTCTAGCCTGGGCAACAAGTGAGACTCTGTCTCAAAAAAAAAAAAAAAAAAACAATGAACTTAAAATGTATCATAGAAGGCTGGGCACGGTGGCTCACGCCTGTAATCCTAGCACTCTGGGAGGCCGAGGCAGGCAGATTGCTCGAGGTCAGGAGTTCGAAACCAGCCTGAGCAAGAGCGAGACCCCGTCTCTTCTATAAATACAAAAGAAATTAATTGGCCAACATATATATATATATAAAAAATTAGCCAGGCATGGTGGCGCATGCCTGTAGTCCCAGCTACTCAGGAGGAGGCTGAGGCAGAAGGATTACTTGAGCTCAGGAGTTTGAGGTTGCTGTGAGCGAGGCTGACGCCACGGCACTCACTATAGCCTGGGCAACAAGTGAGACTCTGTCTCAAAAGAAAAAAAAAAAAAATGTATCATAGACCTTAATGTAAGGTGTTAAAATAGGAAACATTGAAGAAAGAAAATACTAGAAGAAGAAAACACTGGAAAAGATTCTTGTGGATTGGGATTAAGTAAAGATTTCTTCAGTAGGAGAAAAAAACACAAAATATTTTTTAAATAAAAAACTGGACCTCATCAAAATTAAAACTTCCGTTCTTCAAAAGATACTGTTAAGAGAAGAAAAGGCAAGTTAGGACTTGGAGAACATACTTATAAAATGTATATTAATGGATGAAGGACGGATAAAGGACTTAAGCAGAATGTCTAAAGAACTTGTGCATCTCCAATAAAACCAACAACCCTATCAAACTATGGGCACAGAGATCTGAGCCAACGCAGAGATACAGATGGTGACTAATCACATGAAAAAATGCTAAGCTTCAAAAAGCCTTTCACAAAAATGAAAGTAAGAAATAATCAGATACTACTACACACTCTAGACTAGAATGTCTAGAATTTAAAAGACAACCAAGTGTTTTGAGGACATAAAGCGACTGGGACTTTCATACACTGCTGCTGTGAGCGCAGAAAGGGACAGCCACGTAGGAAAAGAGTCTGGTAGCTTCTCATAAAGTTAAACACACTTTTACCATATGATCTAGCAATTCCCCTGGCTTGGAATTTATCTAAAAGGAATGAAAGCGTATGTCCACACAAAGACTTGCTTTATGTGGACATCCACTATAGCTTTAATCCTGATGGTCCAATGAATGCCCATGAACTGGTGAATGCATACACACATTGTGGAGTATCTCAACAATGAACTACTGCTAAGCATTAAAAAGGATCAAACATCTGATATATTCAGTAACATGGATGAATCTCAGATGTATCACGATATTCCCCCTTAACCATAGTTTCACTTTCTGCAGCTTTAGTTACCCACGGTCCGAAAATACCACCAGAACTATTTTAAAAGAAGAGAGACAGAGAGAGTAACTGCACATTCACATAATGGGGGTGGGGAAAAAAGACCCACCTTTGCCTGCAGGCTGAGGTACTGCAAATCCAGGCAATAAAAAGGGTGCCCCTGTAGTAATACCAGCTGGTTTTAGTTCGTTGACACCGTACGTTGTTAGAGAAGTTATCAGATTAACCAGATCTTTCAAGGCATCTTTGGATTCTGCCTCTTTTGCTTGTTCCAATCTAGAAAAAGCATGATTTAGGAAATAATTTTTCTCTTCTGTGGCATTCTCAAATTTAATACCAAAAGTATGTTTCGATTGTATACGCAGTAAATAAATGTATAAAGTACTTCAAGAAGTTTTGAAAGGACACAGGAGTCATCAGGGAATGGGCTTCTGACCATGGCCCTACTGAGAACAAAAAATGGGGTGCAACAAATATCTTTTGTAAAGAACAAAATTTACTGGGTTTTTTTCCCTTAGAAGAAATTATTCTTATCAAATTATTCTTATCAAATTATTTCTTATCAAGAAATTATTCTTATTAACTTGGAGGATGTACAAAAGTAGGAAAGGAGAAAAATTATAGTTAGCCTCATAATCACTTTTAACATTATATTTCTTCAACATGTCTTTTTTAATGTGAAAAGTTCAGTTTTTACAATATTTATTCTGATATCACACACAGAATTTTTTAACCTTTTTAACTTACTAGTATGATTTATGTCATCATTATGCCTCTGCACATTAGTATAAGCTATCTATCCGTAGATACGTTTTTAATGGCCAGGCAGAGCCAACCGCAGATTTGGGGAGGAGAAGGTGGAATAGCCACAGAATACAAGAGTACTACTATACATAAAGTTTTGTCTACATTTACAATTATATCTTTAGGATCAATAACCAAAAATGAAATTACTGTGTCAGAGTTATGTTTTTGAGGGTCTTAATATCTGGTCAACCTGTACACAAAGGATTGCACCAATTAATAGCTCTCTGTGTTGAATAGTGTGAAGTGGTTATTTCAGCAACTTCACAAATGAGAATATATATGCAAAATTATATTCTTTGGGAGGTTGCCTACTATTAACTAACAGCAACTAGGTTAAACTGATAAGAAGAAGTTTAAAGCCAGGTGCTGCAGCGGTACGTGCCCATAGTCCCAGGTACTTGGGTGGCTGAGGGGGCGAGAATTGCTTGAGCCCAGGAGTTCTAGGCCAGCCTGGGCAATATAGCAATACCCTATTTAAAAAAAAAAAAAAAAAAAAAAAGAAAAATAGAAGTTTACAAGAGAGTCCTGGTTTACAATAAAATGACTAAAAAATAACTGATGGCCCAGGAATAGCTAGAAGAGGAATGTGTACCTTTTTCCTAATAATATTTATAATCAGCCACTTTCTGAGTATATACATGTACCATTTGGAATAAAAAAAAAAAGGGACTAGTGAAACATTTTGGACTAATGTGTTTTATACACACATTTGTAAGGTTTCATTTAATCTACATAATTATTCTTGTTATTAACTACATTAATAAAAACTACTAGAAGTACTAAAAAATAAGGATAACCAATATTATTATTAATCAAGAAGAGTTTAAACGTTTGGAAGATATTAATTGGTTCATCTACACTCTCCTCCCTCTGCTCTTAAAGCAGAGCATGGATATCTAACCTCTGACTCCACCATGCTTTTTTGGCTCACGTTTGCCAATTTACCTCAAAATCAACTTTTTCTATCCTGTTGGCAGAAAAAGAATAGAAAAAAAGAGAGTAAAGCCCAGAGGTGACCCAAGTATACGTTAAATAAATGTTTCACTGATTCCGTTTCCCTATAACCCCAAATCACGTCGTTTCGTTTGATGTAAAAGACTGAGCAGACTTTGAAATTTATTCTTAAGTTGTGGGGTTTTACCTAAGCAAGAGATCACAGAGAAAATTATATCCTTGCCATATCCGAAAATCATCCAAAAGTGTTTGAGAAACATCACTGGAATCTTTGAGGAAACAAGAAAGCCCAGCAAACATTTCGACAATTTCTAGAGGAGACAGGTCATCTGACTGCTGCATATTCTGAACACAGGTAGATAAACATTCTTTCTCTGCAAGAATAAAACAGTAAGGAAACAGGTATATTTATGTCAATTGCTCAAGTAAATTTTCTTCATTCTTAATTGATGTTTAATGAAACATCAAATTTTAATGTATCTCTAAAATGCTGAGATAAATGTTACACATTTGAAAAGTAAATATGAGTCAAACTCATTGAGAAAAGTACTGTACTACCTCTAAATAGTAAAAAAAAAATAATATAGAAAAGCACTGAAAAATAGCTGACGTATAAGTACATGCAATTTTTCATATCATGTTTTGATGTTTTATCATTAAACAAAATAACTGGCCACTGCCAAGTGATATTTTTGTTCTTTTATATTGATTTAGTAACAGCATGAAGAAAAACAAAAAACTATCTTTTAAGTTTAAGAAGAAAAATCCAATAATTAATTAAAACTTTAAATTAGAACATAGACCAATGAAATGCAGAAATGCTTCAGGAAATAAAATTTTAGAAATTATATTTGTACAATATATTACTAGTTTAAAACACAGATATATCCTATCACTGACTTTGAGAATTTGTGGCATTTCAAAAAATATGTTTAGTAAAACATATTTATATAAAGAAAGCCAATGTCACATAAAAGCCAGGATTTAACATAGGAATGGAAGGAAGGAAACATTTAATGACTGTCTCAGTTGCTAAGTTTCATATACATCATTTAATAAGTGTAAATAAATAAAAAAAAATAGTTGCATTAATTATTGTGAATACGTTTCAGGAGAATAATATACACGTGGTCTGACTTAACAATGGTTCCACTTAAGATTTTTCAACTTTATTAGGGTGCAATATCAGCAAGTATTCAGTAGAAACTGTACTTCAAGTACCTAAACATTCTGTTTTTCACTTTCAGAATAGTAATCAATAAATTACATGAAATATTCAGCACTGTATTGTGAAGTAGGCTTTGTGTTAAATGATTTTGCCAACTGTAGGCTACCTTAAGTGTTCTCAGCACATTCAAGGCTAAGGTTAGGTGTACTAAATGCATTTTTGACTTATCATTATCATTATTTTCAACTTAATGATGGGCTTGTCAGGACATAACTCTATCGTAAGTTGAGGACCATCTGTACATTAAATAAGTAGACTATTTGGAAAGTTGAATATTATGTATAAATTAAATAGACATAATTTCTCCTTACTGCCAATAAAGAATCAACCTAATTCCACCTATGCTGCATCTGACAGATTATTACCTGGCTACTTATGCATTTATCTTCAGAAAGTCTGGTAACTAGAGCATTTCATAAAACTCCTCTTTTTTTTTTTCATTAAAAGAAGAAAGAAGAATAGACTATAACACAGAACTTACATTACAGCCAAACATGTACGGAATAATGAAATTATGTGTAAATAATTGTAAATAACTATTGTTCAAAACCCCGAGAATTCCTTACATTTAAATTACCCAGCAAATAATTTCTCCTCCTGGCAAATCTATGATTTAATTTTAAAGAACAATCTTTGGGAAAATTGATAAGAGAGAAATAAATGTCATCAAAAGGAAGAAAGAGTGGAAGAAATTTAGAACACTTAAAATGAATATATATACAGTAGCCAAACACTCAGAAAAGAAAAAAAAAAAATGAATATATAAAGAGATACTCACCGTGAATATACTTCACTACATTGACACTGAGACCATGACGGGAGATGGTCATAAGGACTTCTCCAGCACTCTTTCTCCAAGGCAGGTTATAGGGAGGGCACCAAGAGGTTATTGCACTGAATAAAAGCTGGAGATCATCTTTTTGGGCCAGTTCCTCCGCCGGAGAAACAAAACTGCACAATTTCACTAAGATCTAAGAAAACAAAACGAGAACGTACAAACAAGCAAAAAGTCAAACAATCTGATTTAGAAACGGGCAGATAAGCTGAACAGATTATGTCTCAAAAGAAGACATACAAATAGCTAACAGGTATATGAAAAAAAATGCATCACACCACCAAGTATTAGGGAAACGCAAATCAAAACCACAATTAAGATATCGTCTCACCTCAGTTAAAAATAATGGATGCTGGTGAATATATGGTAAAAAGGGGAATTCTTATGTACTGTTGGTGGGAATGTAAACTGGTACAGCAATTACGGAAAACAGTATGGAGGTTCTTCAGAAGACTAAAAACAGAACTACCGTATGATCCAACAATCCCACTACTGGGTATTTACCCAAAGGGGAAAAAAAATCAGTATGTCGAAGAGCTTGCTGCATTCCCATATTTATTGCAGTGCTAGTCACAACAGCCAAAATTTGGAATCAACTTAAGTGTCCATCAACAGATGAATGGAAAAGGAAATGTGGTATATGTGTGTGTGTGTGTGTATGTATACATATATACATATATATATACATACACACACACACACACACAATTTAATACTATTTAGCCATATAAAAGAATGAAATTCTGTCATTTGAGGCAACATGGATGAGCTTGGAAAACATTATGTTAAGTGAAATAATCCTGACACAGAAATATAAATACCAAATGTTCTCACTCATATGTGGAAGCTAAAAAAGTTGATCTCACATAAGTAGAGGGTAGAGTGGTGGTTAACAGACATAGGGAGGAAGGGAGAGAGCCAAAAGTTGGTGAACGGATACAGATCATCCAGACAGAAGGAATAAGTTCTAGTCTTCTACAGCAATATACAGTGACTGTTAACAACAATGTATCGTTTATTTTCAAATGGCTAAAAGAATAGATTTTCAATGTTCTCAACACAAATGATAAAAGTTTATGGTGATGGATATGCTAATTACCCTCATTTGATCATTATACATTGTATGTATCAAAACATCACATTGTATCCCACAAATATGTACAATTATTACGTGTCGGTTAAAAATAATAAAAGCAGGGACAAAATATTCACAATCTACACATCTGATACAGGGCTAACATCCAGAATCTACAACGAACTCCAACAAATCGGCAAGAAAAAAACAACTCCAATAAAAAGTGGGCAAAGGACATGAACAGAAGCTTTCTCAAATGAAGACAGACAAATGGCAATAAACATGAAAAAATGTTCAACATCGCTAATCATCACCAAAGTAAAAATTAAAACCACAATGAGATATCACCTTACTCCTGCTGGAATGGCTTTTATTAAAAAGTCCAAAAACAACAGATGCTGGCGTGGATGCAGAACGAAAGGAACGCTTATACACTGTTGGTGGGACTGCAAATTAATATAACCTCTATGGAAAACAGTATGGAGATTCTTCAAAGAACTAAAAGTAGACCTACCATTTGATCAAGCAATCCAACTACTGGGTATCTAACTCAAAGGAAAAGAAGTCATTTTATCAAAAAGACACCAGCACTCAAATGTTTATTGCAGCACAATTAATTCACAACTGCAAAGATGTGGCATCAACCCAAGTGCCCATCAATTCGTGAGTGGATTAACAAAATGTGGTATACGTAATGGCTGAGTTGTACTCAGGATGAACTAATGCCTTTTGCAGTAATTTGGAAGGAACTGAAGACCATTTTCCCAAATGAAGTATCTCAAGAATGGAAACACGAACACCACATATACTCTTTAATAAATTTGAACTAACCCTTTGGGGACACAGTATACACAGGGAAGTAAAGGTCATCAGAAATCAAGCAGGGGGTAAGGGAGAGGCGGGGAGGGGCAAAAACCCACCTAACAGCTACAGTGAACACTATTTGGGTGATGGGTACATTTATAGCCCTAACTCAAGCCATGTATCAAAAACATTTGTACCTCCTTAATATTCTAAAATAAAAAATAAACAAACACATGTAAAAAAAAAAAAAAAACCCACAAGAGTATATATAAATAAATAAATGTTTGAGGAAAGGCAAGAGCCAGAGAAGGACTAGATCTGAATATTATTAAAAAGTTCACAGTAAATACTGAGCAATGCCATTAATACCACAATGATTACTGCTTTTAGGCAACATTAAAAAAGATGTCCCAAATTTATACTTTACCTTAAGACAATAAACCAACCCTACTTCTATCAACTTATTTTTTTAAAAACATTTACTATCTTCTCTTCAGCATATTTCTGTATACCTTGGCTTGAAACAGGATAAAACAGCACTACTTTTCAAGGCCAACATTTTATAATATATTTTTTTAATTCTTAGTTTGCCACAGGTAAAGTGTTATTTTCTTCTCTAAAAAGGACAGTCTAAGGGAGATGAGAAAGTAAAAATAGATCTTTAAAAGTAAAGGTATTTTTCAAATTGCTTCAGTTTTCTACACAAGTAAATGGGGATATAGGAAATAATAAAAATCATCTTTATTTGGAAATATTTTTAAAAATTATATCTAGTTGCCAAAGCCTTCTAGAGTAGCTTTCAAAGACTCAAGACTTCTTAAATTCTGAAATGAGAGCTTATTCCTTAACTATGATTTGCAAAATACTCACTACATAAGTGCTCACAGCATTAAGAGCCTGCTGCTTGGGCAATTTAGCAGTGGTTTCTGCCCTCAATAGACTCTTCCTTCTAATCCCAGTTCGGTGTCAGGAAAAGTTAGCTTTCTTCTCTTTGTTAACTTTTTCTCATCTAAATATTTTTAAAATATGTAATATGAATAAAACAACTCTAATTTATGACATCATTTTATCCTCCTGAAAGAGGATACAGTGCTTCATGAAATTTGGGTATTTCAACATCAGTGGGAAAATTGCTAAATAGAGGTATTTGAAATACGCTTTGTCTGAGAAAGTGAAGTGTTCCTCTCCCTATGTCCTTCAGTGCAAAAAATATGCTTAAACACAAAAGCTTTCTAAGTCACAGCTGCCAAGCATCAGGGGAAACAAAGTATTAAGAAAAACAATACAATATTTACAAAACCAGTAAATATGGCACCCACCCACCAAATGCCTGGAAAAACTGCTGGATTCCTAACGTCCATTAATGTGTGTAATATGTCTATCTTTTCCAACAAAATGTTATATGCTCAGAGAGATGTACCAATTACACCTTTTATTGGTTCTGACACTGCCTTATGTGATTATAGGGACAGACGGCACTTCCCTAATTTCTAACATAGCAAACGAACCCCAAAAAGCAATAAGTTGCTTTTTTTCCAAGTCAATTCCGTGTTCTCAAAAATAAACTGGATTTAATGATTCCTTGAATCTGACTGATGACTTCTAAGATAATCTGTTCCTAATCTTCACGGGCAAAGAGGTTCTTACAAATAATCTGGTTTAAGCCTGTCATTTTAGAGAATAGAAAACTGAAGCAAGCGTCTATATCCCATTCCTGTTCTGGCCCTACACTAACCACTTCTATTTGTGGTTACAGAGTCCAACCAAGGGTGGCAGAACAAATAATTGGCCACATCAACAACAAAAACAAAAAAGGATGCCTGCGTGAGGCAGTGCCAAATGCTAGATGCCCAGGAAACCATCTGTCACATAATAATACAAACACAGGGATTTCATCTATCATAAAACATTTAATAAACTTGTCTCAAATGGTCTTTCTAGACAAAACGGTGACAACAATATCTAGCCTGCAATGAGGAACTAAAACAAAGGAAGTGATGCACAAAAAGGAACACTGAGCCGGGACGTGGGAAAGCAAGGTTCTCATCACTGCCGCTCACCTGCCGGGGACCACATTCACGGATACCATTTTCCACAACTGTAAATGAGGAGTTTAACCTTCGATGATTCCAGTACGCTACAATGAGTCCCACAGTATTTGAAAGTCAAGCACCTACTGCTTTCAAAGACAGGGACATTTTTTTTTTTTTTTTTACGTTTCAAAAGAAAACTGTGCTGTGCTTACTTAGGTATTGATATTAAAAGTATAAAAATGCAGTTGTCATTAGATATTAGAAGTATGAAACTGTAGCTCCCACTTATCCCCTAAGGCATTCATTTGTTCTTTAAAAGGGCTTTAATTGAAATGAGGCTGCTGTTCTAATCAGCAAAGAATAATCCACCACATTCATCAGCAATGTCTTTAAGCACCTTCAATTCCTATGTGATTTATTCCCATTGCTTTTCTCACTGCTTTCCCCCAGTCTTCAGGAGTCAGATAAACTTGAGTTCTAATCCTATTTCTGCCACTTGCCCAATCATTTTGGGGGAAAACAAAAGCCATGGGTTTGCGTTGCAAATTCAGATGAGACAAGACATGTTAACCACAAAAGCACAGAAGTGTATAATGGAGCAAGTGTTCTATAACTGATTTGCTGATTTAGTGTTTCATTTGATAGTTAAATTCTTCTACTTTCTAAAACTGCCTTGGTGTCCCTCTCTCTCCTGTTCTCTCATCATTAGCAGCTCTGCACAGCAGAGGCAAGAAAGACTCCAGCGTAACATGAAGTGAGCAAGCAACCATTCTCCACACCTGCTCTGCTGCACCTATTCCAATCCATACCTGCTCCAATCCACCACCCTTTCTATCCTCTTTCTACTCTCTCAGTAGTGATGGGGACCACAGCAGCAGTCAGTTACTTTTCTTTAATGTCTGCTATGTGCTAAGCAGAGAACCACGGCTTCACTTACCATTTCATTTGAATCTCACAAAAAAAGCCTTTAAGTAAAGGTCATTTTCATTTTACAGGTGAAAAACCTGCATCTTGGGTTATATAACTTCAGAGAACTAGATTTAAACGTGTTGTTAACTTTTTATTGTGATAAAAAAAAAAAACAACTCGTAACAAAATTTACCATCTTAACCATTTTAACTGTGCAGCATGTTAGTGTTAACACCACATATAATGTGCAACAGAGCTCCTGAACTTTTTCATCTTGCAGAACTAAAAATTCTATTCCCACTGAACAATAATTCCCTTTTCTTCTCTCCCTTTAGTCCCTAGCAACCAGCATTCGACTTTCTATTCTAATTGTTTGACTACTGTAGATAATTTACATAAGTAGAATCACACAGTATTTATCTTCGTGTGCCAAACGTGTTTTTCATACTGTATTAGAAGAATGGACGCATTGTATTCTAAATGCTTGTAGGTTGTTTGTTTTGAAAATTTTCTCCCAAGAAGGAATATCACACATGATAACTGTATTCCCAGGCTAGCTAACAAAGGTCTATTACACCTCAGTTAACCCACGATGCTATTATAAGAACAGCGGTAACAGCGGGAAAGAAGACCTTACAGGCAGGAGGTAGAAGAGTTGGCAGCACTCACTAAAACAAACTGTCTTTATAATTTAAATATTTATAGGTTAGGGACGTCTTGTATACAAAATAGCAACTAAACAGAATTCCTTGATTCAGAAATATTACCCAAATCTTAATTTTCAAAACAGTTTTTTCCTTGCTCAGTTTGTTTTAGAGACGCTACTGACATATCCAACGTAATACCAATAACTGGACCTATTCAGAGGAACTTTCTAATGCCTCACTTGAAGAGTCCTGAAAACAGTATTTCAAGATTTTTTCTGCAGATTCAAAAAACATGTGATAATTATATGATATAACGTCATCCTCAAATAAACAGAATGAGATACTACACGAAATGGAATATGTAAGTACATCTTTTTAAGAAGTGCACCCATTTCATTTTAAATAGAGCATGCAGACGACAGGTGTTAACAAATAGCACCTTCCGTACCTGTACAAAAACTTTCTGGAGCAGTCCTCGACGTTCCGCTAGAGGTAGCTCATTCTGTGCACCTCCGACTGCCTCAGGCACATGTGGAAGGTCAAAAAACAGATATAAACATTTAACCAGGGTGGAAGGCACTGACATCGTTGTCATGCAGTCCACGGTTTTCTGGAAAATAAACCAATAAATTAATGAATAGAGAGACAGACATAACTCCAATTGGTATAGCTGAATAATTCACAAATGTTAAGCCAAAAAGTCACATATCAAAGTAAGTTTTTAAATTCATGTAAGAATTTAAAAATGACTACATGCCGGAAAAATACTCCATTGTCCTTTTAGACAAATTTGCCTTAATCAAATATTGAGATTGGGTTTGTTTTTTATATATATATATATATATATAATAGGTTATTTATTAAATTTGATATTTATTTATTAAAAAGCACCATGTTTTGAAAGAATATATGCTTTGGAAATGAGAAAAACAAGCACTTAATAACCATGAACTGTTCAGCAAACTACTTGTAATTTTCCTGGGCCTCACTTTTCTCTCTTATAAAAGTAGATAGAACAGTACATATTTTTTTAGGGTAAATATGAGGGCTATATAAGACAATAAATGGAAAACATATTAGGCACTAACTAATAGCTGCTTTCCTATCATTTTCACTTTTATTATTACAGATTCTTGGGGCTGCTGGCAAGACGCGTGACAAGGCCATCACTTCCTTTTGTATTATTTTCAAACATTTCCAGAGGCAAAAATTCTGGACCTTCTTATAGCAAACATTTTAGCACTGTTGAGAAGTATAATATTTGTCAAGATCTTCCACGATGTGGCTCGTAATAAAAAGTTTTACTGCGCTAGAGATCAACAGGTTGGCATCATCTGTTGATTGTTTACTTTCTCGTCAAACATTTATGCAATGCCTAAGGAATGTCAGGCTGTGTGCTGGCAGATGAAGCATTCTTGCTCTTCAGAAGACCACGGTCTACTTACTAGTATTAGTAGTTTCATAAGTAACTATGATTTAATCACTTATGTCTAACAATGGTAGTGTGTGTACACACACACACACACACACACACACACACACACACACACACACACACACACACACACACAGGCTAACATAAAAGGGACAACCGATCGACACCGGCAGGAATGGAATAGAGATGTACAAGGAATTAAAATAAAAAGGGAAAGGTCACCTGGAAGTTACACAGCAGGTTAGGCCAGATGGTACGGTATGTTTGAGCAAACACAGAGTTCAAAATTGCTCACTCCTGAAAAGCCACAATAATAATGGCTAATCTTTAATTAGCGGTTGTTATGTAACAGGCATAAGGCTAAGCGCATGATCTCATCTATTCCTCAAGTCAACCCTTATGAGGTAGACACGATTACTGTATAGTCCTTATTTTACAAGCAAAGCCAACTGAGGCCCATTACTTACACGCCCTTCATTAGGGCAGAGAGCTGGTCAAGTGGCCCACAAAGAATATACGTTCAATGACCTACAAAAACTGTCTCACATTCTAGTCTGACTTCTATTTTGCTGGCAACAAAGACCCAGTGATATGTTACAAACAAAAAAACAAAACAGAACTAGATTTCAGAAAATCAGCTGGTGGTAGTGTAGATCATAAATTAAATATAGAGAGCCAGAAGGCAGGGATAATTAGGAAACGAATACAAAACACCGTATGATAGACAGGGCCCCAACTAATGCAGTAGCAGGGTGATGGAGAGCAGAGAGCCTCAAGAAAAATCCTTTGCAAAATCTGTCCCCTTTCTACCTACCCAGTATCATTTTCTGCCTCAAATACAACTAACCCCTCTTCTCTACCCACCTATGATTTATCATTTCTTTTTTTTTTTTTTTTTGAGACAGAGTCTCGCTTTGTTGTCCAGGCTAGAGTGAGTGCCGTGGCATCAGCCTAGCTCACAGCAACCTCAAACTCCTGGGCTCAAGCGATCCTTCTGCCTCAGCCTCCCGAGTAGCTGGGACTACAGGCATGCGCCACCATGCCCGGCTAATTTTTTTTTATATATATATATCAGTTGGCCAATTAATTTCTTTCTATTTTTAGTAGAGACGGGGTCTAGCTTTTGCTCAGGCTGGTTTTGAACTCCTGACCTTGAGCAATCCGCCCGCCTCGGCCTCCTAGAGAGCTAGGATTACAGGCGTGAGCCACCGCGCCCGGCTGATTTATCATTTCTTGACATATCATGTCACCATACATCCAGATGTTCAGTTCACATATCTGCTATGTCTCAAACTTTCCTTAATTCCTCATCTTCCATCCTACCTTTGCCTTGGAAATCTTTACTCTCACATTTCTACTTTCATAGTGGTACATATACCCCATTATTGAACGTCATGGGGTTATCTTTCTATGCTTCATCTCTGTCATCTACATGTTGAGTCAGGACCACGATTTAGTCATCTCTCTATGTCACTGCTGCCACCAGAAAGTGGTACTCAAACAAAAAAGGCAGCTCAGTAACACTGAATTTGCTTTTTATTTTTTATTTATTTTTTTCACCGAGCTCACCCTTCTGCAGAACCAATTTGTTTCTTAAATGTATTTTTTTTCCCACTTATATTACTACTACTAGCTTTCCCTTCCTATTGAGAAAAGTGACATGATTTTTCATTTTCATCTTATGATTGACAGATTTAAAGTACAACTTGGTATCTAAACTTGTAATTTTTAAGTGATTAGGTTTCTACAGGAAATATGAGTAAATGTAAAAATATTACTGAAATACTTAAATATTATAGTAGATATTTAAATTTAATGTTAAAGTTTTAATAGCATGTAAAGATATGCTATTCTAAAATAAACTTCAGTATAGTAACATACAGCTATTTACAGCTATCATCAACAGCAAATGGAATTGTGATTTTGTTAGTCATTGAGTATAGTCACAGATATATGAAAACAATAGTCTACGACCATCTGAAGCTTTCTTTAGGCGACCAACCGTCTCCATTTGCCTAGGACTGAGTGGTTTCCTGGGATGTAGGACTATCTATAACTCCCAGGAAAACCTGGACAAGTTAGTCACGCTAATTCCCTGAATGGGGAAAGAAAAAAAAAAACTAAAAAAACGATACAAACAAAAACAAAACAAGAAAAAGAAAACAGACTATTCCAAAGAGAAAAATCCAAGTGCTCATTACTTTGGGCTAGTGACTAGTTTCAGAATACGATTATTCACAGTCACCTTTGTAAGTTCCATCATTAAATGATATGAGGTGTTTGAAAGTCCACTGCAATTTAGACAACAGACAGGCCCGAGATTAGAACAGACTTCAATAGGTAATTATACTCCGGATTTTAGAAGGCTGAATAAACCTCCTTTATAGCAGAGATATCAAAGACCAAAAACCAGATATCCAAATGGCTTATTAATGAATACATGCAACATATTTCATGATGGATATTTAAAACTGATTTAGAGAAAATAAAAGCAATCTCCAGAATAAATCAAATAAGAGAATATATATTATCCTGATGTGTTTCCTTATTTTCCATAAAAAAGTAAGAATATTTTCCATGTCATCTAGTCCTTATTAGCCGAGTGATCTTAAATGAATAGAAATTTTTTTTCTAAGCTGGAGTTTCCCTAACATGGGTTACAAACACGTTGGGCTGGGCCTGATGGACCTAGAGCTCCTGGGCTACTTGTCTCCATCCATAAGTGGTCCATGTCTTTGCCCAGGATGCTGTACAAACAGTATCACGTCCTATGTGTGTCATGATATGAAAAGATGGAAAACACTGCTCTAAGCCATGCATTCCCTCATAAGTAAAGGGCATAAAATATCACTGGGCATGGTGGCTCATGCCTGTAATACTAAGCACTCTGGGAGGAGGCCAAGGCGGGAGGATCGCTCAAGGTCAGGAGTTCGAGACCAGCCTGAGCAAGAGCGAGACCCCCGTCTCTACTAAAAATAGAAAGAAATCAGCTGGCCAACTAAAAATATATAGAAAAAAACTAGCCGGGCATGGTGGCGCATGCCTGTAGTCCCAGCTACTCGGGAGGCTGAGGCAGGAGGATCGCTTAAGCCCAGGAGTTTGAGGTTGCTGTGAGCTAGGCTGATGCCACAGAATCTAGTCCGGGCAATAGAGTGAGACTCTGTCTCAAAAAAAAAAAAAAAGAGCATAAAAAAAAAATCAAGCTCCTCACAGAGATGTTGCAAGAAGCATGAAATAATGTTTTAGACGAGTAAGAAGAACACAAATGATTATCACAATCTCATTTGGATATGATGATAAATTTAATAACAAAATCCCAAGAGGATGCAAAAAAAGAGGGTTACCTGACCAGAGGATGCTAACAAATTAATTGTCGTCAGAAGCATCCAGCCTCTACTGGCTTCTTCACTCTGATTGATCTCCAGGAACTGGACTATGGCCCGACTTGCAGCCTCTATAATAAAACCAAAGGGAAAGCCATTAAATGAGGTGGGAGGGTGGGAGATCGCATATAAAGAAGGTTCTTTCTTAAAACCTAGCAAGGAAATAGTCATTTACTGAGCACATAACTTTATATTATACACTCTAGGGGGTGAATTTTAAAATTAGTAATGTTTTACTGGTATACACATAAACCCTTATATCATTAATACAGAAATGTAGAAGTCAACCTATATATTTTAGGGAGAGATACGTCATCAACTAACCAAACAGATTCATGGAAGAGGTAAAATTTGAGCTAAACTTCCCTGGAAAACATACTTAATCCAGGAAGTGGGAGCAACTGGGGACGCAGAGAGAATAGAAGCAGAGTATTACAACCCAAGAGTGGCTACAGAAATGGGCCTGAACGTACAGATCAAGTCAAAGAACGGTAATAACACTGACTTAACAATCTAGAAGAGCATAACTGATAAACAATTCTAATATCAAGCAGTAGTGACAAAAAAAATACAGACGCCTACCTGTGAAGGAGGGTAAGCTAATGGCTATATTTGACTCTTTGGGCAAGAGGGAGCAAATGTAGTTTCGTGGGCAAAGTAGATGATGAACAGATTATTCCAGGACTATTAATCTAGTGGTAGTGTGTATGACAGACTATAAAAGGCCAAAGAGACTGGCGTGAGGGAAACAGAAGGGAGAGACTGTCTCAGTGACACACGCTGGCAGTAGGAACACAGAATCGCTGAGATATGTAAGAGAGCCACTCATACAAATGCAGACTCAGAAGACTTTTTCAAAGTAAATTTAATTGATTATGTTCTAAGGAAGAAGGGAAAATGGAGAAATCGCTAAACTTGCACTTAATTTCATCAGTACACTTTGCCAATTTTTACTTTAACATATGAGATGAATTAAAATTGTCAGAAAGTCCAGTCTGTTCACTGTGAACTAACTGGGTAAGATACTAATGTATACTTAACACACTTCATAAAAAAGGACCAGAAAGTAGAATAAACTGGATTTAGATGACCCTAGATGTATTTTTTTCTTCAATTTAATACAATAAAGATACATTTTTTATTGGATTACTGAATACAGGGCTTACATATGATTCAGTGCTAGGCATATTTCCATATTCTATCTTTTTTTGTTGTTTGTTTTTGAGACAGAGTCTCACTTAGTTGCCCAGGCTAGAGTGAGTGCCGTGGCATCATCCTAGCTCACAGCAACCTCCAACTCCTGGGCTCAAGCAATCCTCCTGCCTCAGCCTCCCAAGTAGCTGGGACTACAGGCATGCACCACCATGCCGGGCTCATTTTTTCTATATATATTAGTTGGCCAATGAATTTCTTTCTATTTATAGTAGAGACTGGGTCTCGCTCTTGCTCAGGCTGGTTTCAAACTCCTGACCTCAAGCAACCCGCCCGCCTTGGCCTCCTAGAGTGCTAGGATGACAGGCGTGAGCCACCGCGCCTGGCCTCCATATTCTATCTTTATATACTTTCGTTTGAGGGACTATTTTAACTGGAAAAAATTTTAAATGGCTTCTTTTTATTGAGTCAACTATATATCGAGTAGTCTTTTAAGTACTTGTGAGTTTAACTCATTTAATCTTTACAAGAACCCTATGAGTTATTTTCTATTAATTTAATCCTCATTATAGTAAAATTGAGAAATGGAAAGAATAAGCAATTTGCCTACAGTCACAGAGACAGTCAGTGAATTCATATTTGAACTCATGTTCAAATACAGGCTGTCTAGCCTGTAAGAGACAAAGATAGTGATTAAAGGAATTAACTGAAACCAGGTGCAGTGGCAGGCGCCTGTGGTCTCAGCTACTCAGGAAGCTGAGTGAGACAGGAGGATCGCTTGAGCTTACAAGTTTTAGGCCACCCTAGACAACACAGAGAGACCCTAGCTTTAAAGAAATATAATAATAATTATTATAAATAACATATTTATAATTTAATGTTAAATTAGTATCAATTGATTTAACCAAATATTATTAAAACACTACGATGATTTATAATAATTATTATTTACTGAAACAAACAGATGCCTGCCTTATTTCCAAAACTCAGAATCTCTTAAGTGTTTAAATTACTCTATTCCTACATTCACTGATGTAGCCTCTCGCCCCGCTAGTAAATGGAGCAGTCCACGGGAGCAGACCCTTCATAAGCCTCACTCCCCACTGCCGAGCCCCCAGCATCTAGCACATTACCTGGCAGTAAGTGGGCACTCGATAAGTATCTGTTAAGTGAATCAACCTAACTAGATCAAAAGGATAACAACAACAGAAGCACACACTGAGTTCAACTTTCTCAAGGAGTTTGGATTTATTATGGGTAAGAGGAATTCCTGAAAGTTTTGAAAAGGGGAGTAACACAGGAAAGCTATGGTTCAGTCTGACTAACGTATGAAGATCTCAATCATAGAGAAAGGAGAATAAGAAAATACCAAGGAGAAAACTACTTTAGCAACCATGGTTTGAGATCAGTGGTAAAAACTGATGTACAAATATATCTTTCAAGTCTACAAAGGACCCAACAATTGGCAAAGGGCTACGTAACATGGGCCCCTTTCCTTAACAGTAATTAAATACCCGTGTAAGGGAGACAACTACTTCCCAGTTAGCTAAAACTCTCAGCTAAAGGCTGACATATTACGCTTTCATTTTCTAGACCTCTTTGCAACATAAAACTTTTGTTTTGCATTGTACATTTCCAATTTCACAACTCAGTATCTTTAAGAAACCGCTGGTAGTTTTCAAATTGGTTATTTCATAGTTAAATCAATGTAATGAAATTTTTATTTCAAAAACAGCATTGCTTAGGAAAAGATCTGGTCACTACCACTTATGTTTCTCACAGAGGAGGAAAAACAGATTTTGAAGAACCAAACCTATTTTAAGAGAAAAGGCAAAACAAAGTTATCTTCCTGGGACAAAAGCTAGAAACCCCACAGATAAGCCACATTTCAAATGAATTTGGATTCCGCTCGTATTACTTAGCACTATCAACGTTAAAAGAAAATGGGCAAATATGTATTTTCAGTATTCAGTAAGTTGTCAGATACAAACAATAGACACTAATGCTGATACTGAGAACCAAAACACCAGAAATATATTCTTGGTCTGAAGCAGTTCTAGTTATCTGATCAATGGGGGACATTTATACTTCAAATGTATGGTTTCTTATGTTTTGATTGACAATGAACATTAAGGAATTCCTCAAGATGAGAAGAGGCAAACAACAGATAAAAAGCTAATGTTCTATTTGTCATTAAATATTACTGTAACATGCTCAATGGGGGCTGCTGTGCTGATTAAAGAAGATAATTAAAGCATGTGAAAACAGACTGGAAGAAACAGCATGGTATAATCAGTAATGTATCTTTACTGATTTAACAATAACAATTACTCTTTTTGAGAGGGTAGAGAAGACCAGAAGTTATAACAGTAATCATATAAAGTTATGTTATCTGGTTTTGAATGACAGGCTCCTACAGATAAAGAGGTCTGGACAGGGTTGTGGTTGAATGATATGGAGGAGATCCCAAACTCTATTGACAAAACAAACTATTTTTACATATCAAATGTATTCAGAACTATTTTACTTTCACCTACCAACTTCAACATGTAGTTGTCATTTAGGATATCTCAAACAGATCTCCCACTTTTTATTTTAAATGAGGTAAAGCAGCTCCTTTTAAATTATGTAGCATTTTAGTGCTATTTTTAAAACATTATGTATCCTAGAAAGTAATTTTAAATAAAACCTCCATAAATCACATAGTTTCTTAAAACTTTGGGGGGGCAAAAAGCCCACCACTAGTTATAAACATGTTCTTATTAGGACCTATTAATTTCAATAATATTTAACAAACACAAATTTAAACGACAATTTAAGATTATGAGTTAATAAAAAGAACATATTAATATTAACCCATCTTTAGAGTTGCCAGTTATTTTATTCAAGCTTTAGCTTCCACACTTCAATACATGTATAATTAGAATGAGAAATACAGAAATGCAGTTAGTAGTGCTCATAATTATATTAAATAAAGTAACGTACGCTACAACGAGAGAATACAAGTGAATTCAATTAGACAGCATTTAGAACAATTAGAATGCATAACTTGTTAATAAGTGCAATACAATAACTTTTCCCTTGCAAAGTCCATTTAAAGCACGTGTCATTTTCAAACTGATGCTTCAGGACGACGGTGAGACATGTCAATGGTGTTGTTATACTTATTAATGAAGACACGAAAGCACTAAACACCCCCTGACCCCTCCAAAAAAAAAAAAAAAAAAATTCCACAAGTTAGTCAGAAAAACGGTATCAGAACTCAGACTTCCATGCTTCTTTTCACTTGACAATACATATACCACACCTTGGGAAACGAAATTACCTGAGGGTGTTGTGGCTTTGAAATCCTTGGGGGACAGCAGGGCACACTGTTTTTCTGTTTGAAGAAAGAAGGCTGGGTTGTCTACCTGGGGACTGGGTACACCCCGCCAACCCCCCACGGGAGGACCGTGGTCAGCGCCGTCCAGCCACTCCACTGCTGGGTGGCCGCCCGCTGGGGCTGGCCCCACCGGGTTTAACAGTGGCACCCCGCACGCAGCAAAGTCACTAATAAACTGAAGATACTATTTTTTTTTTTTAGCCAAGTGGGAATTTTCTGCTTCACTGATATAAATCAACCATGTCCCCTTAGAATTAAGCAGAATTAGCACGGCTGAACTTAACGGGTAACTAGAAGAGATGGGGGGGGAAAATCTTAAGATATATCCTGGACATTATATAGCCAAAAAATATGTTTTTTTGTTTTTTTTTTTAAATTAGTTGAGAGTCACTGCATACTTTAAATCAGGGGTCCTCAAAGTTTTTAAACAGGGGGCCAGTTCACTGTCCCTCAGACTGTTGGAGGGCCGTTGGAGAGTGCAGCACACATTCCACACATGCGCACTGTGGGCCCGAGAAGAGTTGGCTGCTAAGGAGGACAGGCAGCGGTGGCAAAAACACCCGGGGGGGCCCAAATAAATGTCCTCGGTGGGCAGCATGTGGCCCCCGGGCTGTACTTTGAGGATGCCTGCACAAAAGCCACATGGAAGCATCAAAAGAGGATTATGGCAGGAAGAGAGAGAGAGACAGAGAAAGACTGTGAAGTTGTCCTAATATATAACAAATAGGTCCATGATTCCATTTTGCATCTTGGCATTCCCTTGATTCCCTAAATCAATTCCCCTGAGTTCCATTTTCACTAACTACTGATAGATTCAAGCAAGAGGACTGCAGGTAAGCATGGTTCCTACTGAGATATCTACAGCCCATGTTGGAAGTAATCTGATAATAAGACTTTAAGTCTGAGTGGTGATTAGGTAACACCCAAAATAAGTCTTTCACACCAAATTTGGAGGGGTCCTGGAAAAATGATCTTGTTTTGGTACAACAAATATAGCCAACTTTCAAAGGAATTAATAGAGAGATCATTTCACTTGTGTTTTTGGAGAAAAATTATATGAATGTAAATTTTGACAAAATTTCTTTCAATGATAACTCCTATAAAACAAAAGGTCAAATGAAGTAGTCAAATTCACAGGAGAAGAAAACAAAATTCTGGTTGGCGTCCAGGGGCTGAGAAGAGGTGGAAATAAGGAGCTCCTGTTCAATGGGTATAAAGTTTTAGTCATGCAAGACTAAAAGTTCTAGAAATCTGCTATACAGCATGGTGTGCATAGTAAACAACAATGTACACTTAAAAAATTGTTACGAAGGTAGATCTCATGTTATGTGAGGTTTTTTTAACCATAATAAAAATAAGAAAATAAGGATGAAATATGTAAGAGTTAGATGATTTAGGATGTACTTAGATCATGAAAATCTGGAATTCTTTTTAACTAGAAAAATCAAAAGCTCAAAAAATCTCCATGAAAGTATTTTTTATAATTTTTTTTCCTTTTACCCTCATGAACCTATGAAAATGAACCTATGAAAACCTACATGAAAACCTACATGAAAATATGAAAGTATTTTTAATAACACTGACCAAAAGAATCTTCCAATGTTCAAGACTAGAAATGAAAGAAGAAAACAAGGATTCCCAACAGCCAGAGTCTTTTAATGCTGATTGAGAAGATACTCTAAGAATTATGCTCATCTCTCTTAAAAACCCAGGAAGGCTGGCTCATCTAACCGTACTCAAATTCTCAAAGTTTTTAAAACGAAACAAACAAAAAAAAATCCTATGTCAAAAAAAATAACAAAAATTTATTGAACAGCTAATATGTGAGAGGCATTTTTATAGGTGTTACTGATGAGGGTGAATATGACAGATAATAAAATTAAATAAGTAAATAAGATACTTTCAGATGATGACATGCCACGAAGGAAACTATGCAAGGTGACTGAAGAGATACTAACTGGTGTGGAGATAAAGGACAGAAGACTCATTTGAGACAGGGCGCTAGCGAAGATTTCTCGTCAGGAAATAACACACAGACTCAACTGAATTGCACAGGATTCTAAAGTTAATAAATTTCAAAAGTTGGAAACTAAAAATTACATGGAATCGTATGACATGAAAAAAATGTATCCTAAGAATTCCTGGTTAACAACATGTCACTGATAGGGGAAAGTGGATGAAGGGCACACAAGACTCTGTGTACTATTTTTTGCAACTTCCTATGAGTCTATAATTATTCCAAAATTACCAGTTAAAAAAAAATATTTGCATAACTCTTACCGTTAACTAACAACGAGACATCTTCTACTCTATTTAGGACATTTTTCATTACATACAAAAATCTGCTCTATGGATGCAAAAGCATTAAGAGATTTAGGAAAACAAACCTCCAGTGTAGCGAAATGTCTTTCTACCAACGTGCAGATTAGGTATTTAAAAACACAGCAACAGAGAAGCAATTATAAATAAACTTTTGGTAATTTTTTTCTCATCTATCATCACTCAAGAGAGAAAATGCAATGAAAGACATCAATGTGTGACAGAAATTTCTCTTCAGAGCACCTGTTTAAAAAAGCTAAAGACACAAACCTTATTCTGTATACCAACTTTTCACTTCCACAAGAGTAAATGAAATAAGATAAAAAAAAAAAAAGATGTGATCCTATTTTAGGTGGAGAAGGGAGAAGACAGGGACAGATACCTTAAAATATCTTACCACCTTTTCTTGGACTTGTTTCAAGGACTGCAAATATAATTTAAACCAACTCACTTTAAAATCCATACATCACTCCGTATCATGTACTGCTTCTGAATGAGGGATTTAGTCCTCAATCTAAAATTTTAACGGCTGTTGCTAAAAAGACTGTGTAATGGGCTCCAGTTAAGATGGACGGTTGAGCACATTCATTTACCTCTGCTTTCTTCTGAAATACTGCTGCTATGGACTGAATCGTGTCCCTCCAACATTCATACTTTGAAGCCCTACCCCTAACATGAAGGTACTTGAAGACAGGCCCTTTCGGAAGGAATTAGGTTTAGATGACGCCATGAGCACAGGGCCCTAATGATGGACTCTTGTAAGAAGAGAGGGCAGAAAGCTTGCTGCCTTTCTCTCCCCCACGTGAGTACACAGCAAGAAGGCAGCAGTCCGCAAGCCGGGAAGAAGAGCCTTCCACGCAGAACCAGCCACGCTGGCAACCCGACCTCCAGCCTCCAAAGTCGTGAGAAAATAAACTTCTGTTGTTTAAGCCTCCTAGTGTATGGTATTTTGTTACAGCAGCCCAAGCGGACTAATGTATTCACTACAATAATTGTTAAAAGACTTTTTTTTTTTTTGAGACAGAGTCTCGCTTTGTTGCCCAGGCTAGAGTGAGTGCCGTGGCATCAGCCTCGCTCACAGCAGCCTCCAACTCCTGGGCTCAAGCGGATCCTCCTGCCTCAGCCTCCCGAGTAGCTGGGACTACAGGCATGCACCACCATGCCCGGCTAATTTTTCCTATATATATTAGTTGGCCAATTAATTTCTTTCTATTTATAGTAGGGACAGGGTCTCAATCCTGCTCAGGCTGGCTTCAAACTCCTGACCTTGAGCAATCCACCCGCCTTGGCCTTCCAGAGTGCTAGGATTACAGGCGTGAGCCACTGCGCCCGACCAGAAATTTTTTTTTTTAAATATATAAACTCTTAAGACCAAAAAGAATTTTTACAAAACGAGAGCAACAAAATTATGGATACTAAAATAGCAGAAAGACTTGTGGTAACTGACTGAGCAAACCCTACTGGAATCTTAAAGTAAGTGCAGGGAAAGTGGAAAAGCAACCAACGTACCACAGACCACGGAAGCTCCGAGGTGCTCAGGACTTGGTGGTACTAGGTACACCTTTGGACGCAGAGGTGAACACGGGACTACACAGAGGAGAGCTGCTAGAAAATAAGTTGCAGAGCACTCAGACTACTACGTAAGCACTGGAATGGAGACTTGTTCAACGAAAAGAGTAAGAGGAGGATTGTAGATTGGGGGCACCGGGCACAGCGTGGGCACAGAGAAATAAAACAGAAGCTTGTATACTGCACGTTGAGGGTCCTCAAACCTTTCTTCCACTTGGCTTCCAAAATGTTGAGAGTCAGACATGTGTCTTCTAAGCAGAGACTGGCAAATTCTCTGAGAAATCTCCCTAGCTCAGGGGAAAGATGGCCAACAAAAAGCCCAGCAAGATCACACTACACTGAAGCCCACAGTTGCAAACTCCACACATAATTAAAAAGCGGCCCATCCGCTTCATAATGCTCCATTCTTACAAAAGAGCAGATGGTCAAGGATGAGACACGTGAGGACATTCTCTAAGATGAAAGACAAAAACAAAAACCAAGTTGATAAAAAGGCAGCCTTTTCATTAAACCTGAAAGAAACAGGTATTCAGGGGCATGAAAAGAGAAGAAAATGTATCCATGTAAGAATAGAAACCAATTAAAAAAAAAAAAAAGAATTCTTAGAAACGAAAAATATAAAGCCACAAATGAAGAAAAACGCCCACGGAAGGGATGGATGATAAAACTGAGGGGTTCTCTAGCAAGCAGTCAAAACACAAAGACAGAAAATGAGAGGAGCAGTCTGAGAGAGATATCTGACTAGAAAGGGAATATTATTTCCAGAGGAGGGGAGGATATTATTAAACAATTCACAAAAGCTTCCCGAATTTAAAGGGTATGAATTCCCAGACTGAAAGGGTCCATCCAATGAGTACGTAGCATAATGTATAAAAATAGGTCCACCAGAAGGCACATGATCCTGGAATTTTAGAATAGTAGGGAAAAGGGGAGGAAACCTAAAAGCTTCCAGAGAAAAACTAGGTCACAGAGAAAGAACCAAGAACCTAGGTAAGCTTCTGACTTCTCAATAGGAGTGTAGAAATCTAGAATACGATAGAGAAATTATTTTTTAAACTCTGAGAGAAAATGGTTTGCGACGTAGAATCCGATACCCGCTTAAAGGAGGACTGATATAACGCAAGTGGCAAGATTATTCACTGGGATCCTGAGTGCTCACACGGGGCTGCAGGGACAAGAACCTTGCTAAGTAAGATACTGGCGATCTCCCCATAGGAGGGGCAACCCAAGCTCAACTCCCCATGAGACTGGTGGCTTCCAATCTTTAGGAGGAGGGCCTCCTGGGACTAGACAGCT